AGGTGTTATCAACCATATTCTAATATTTTTTCGAAATGTTTTTTTAAACCTCTTTTTGATCAGTAGGAAGGATTTATCAGGTATTATCTCTGAAGAGGAGTTTGTCGAAATCTATAGTTTCATGAAAATCTCCGTCAGTGATAAACACGACAAGTGTGTATATCATCATTTCAACGCGCTATTTTTGCACGCGGACATAGTTTCGTACCTCTAAACCCTAAAATCCCATCGTTAGTCTGGATGATAGTGTATCAAAACAGTTAAGAGAACTTACATGATGATCAGTCAGGATGTGAAAGTTTGATTTTTGTTTCTGATTCTGAATGGCTTTTTCATCCCAAACCTTTTGTCGCCGATCCAAGATTAAAATGCTGTCATTTAATTTGTCTTGGACGTTTTAATTTTTTCTTTTCAAAAAATCACCATCGGTGATTTGTGAGCCATGTTTTTGTGGCAGTTACTGTGTTAGTTTTCAGTGTACAGCTAAATTTATCAGTGTTACCAAAATCCATACGTATGTAACCAACGAAATGAAAAACAAAGTGTTCAATATTTTTGTTAGCTTTCAAGTGCACGTACTCATTTCTTTGCTGTTTTGTCATCATATCCCTGAAAAATTAAATACTTCGATCTCAGATCGATCCACCCGAATGTTTTCTTTATGTGTTTTTAACTTCCTTTCTTCACGGAACTTTGTTGTTATTGTTTGTATCTAAGGAAGACAGAATAACCTAAAACTAAAACGTTCTTCCGAAACCGAAGTGTAACGTTTCCTTTTTTCAGCGAATCTTTTCGTGACCGTTTCTCATCATAATAACGGAATTTGGCGTATGACAGTAGAGTCTTAACCCTTTCACTCCCAAGATCTTATCAGTAATTCTCCTTATTATTTGCCACACAATGCTCATGGTGTTAGTTCGGAGAGTTTGGTATTGGATCAACTAATAATCCCCTAATTGATATTTGACTTTATTCTCATCACTTCTCTGCTCGATATTGTATTGATATTGTAAGGAGAAATTCTCCTTTGGTCACTCCTGAAGGTTCAGGGTTAAAAAGGAATTCTGGAATTAAAAAAAATATCATTTGCCATTAAAAAAGGGGAAACAAATCTCACTACTTAATGTGGTTGTGTTTATAATCGCACAAACAAAGTCACGATTTTTTTTTCCAAAGTTTTGTTGCAAAGATATCAAATGAATCCAGTAGCTCGCCTGATTATTTAGATGAAATTTGGGGTCTAAAAAAATCCCTTCCGAACACTGCTCTTTGCAGGTGTAATCAAGTTCGTCTATTGATACAAAAGATTCAAGATTGTTCGGGGAGAGACTCAACATTCAACAAGAGATATGAGAAGAAACAGTAGGTACGGGTACACTTTGTGGAAATAACACAACACTATTACTTCGTTAAAATGGAAGTTTGATCATGGCGCGCTCGGCGGAGGTGTGGAACAGCTTTCTTTGCAGTTCTTTTCAATTTAGAGTGGTGTGTTGTTCCATGAAGTTATTTAGTCTAAATATTTTTGTATTTTAGTCTCGAGGAATGAGTTTCCGGGAGCTGAGCTCAAAGTAAGTTCAAAACAAAATCTCTCTAGCCGAAAATATATCGAGCTTGTCTCCTTCATAGCTTTAGTTTGGCTTTGTCACGGAACACGCTTCTTCTTAGTTTCGTGACAAGCTCAAGCAGGGCTGATGGAGACATTTAACAAACCACGAGGTTTCACCAAAGTGATTGATCTTCTGACTGAGATTCATCTCGTTCAGTAATTAACCGCTAGTTCGCCGAGTTATGAGGTCTTATTTCTAATTAATTTATAGATTACTGATTCAATAGCGCTTTACGAAATATAGAAATATCCGATAGTCTGTCGCAGGTAAGTTAAAAGCCACAAGCACACAATGATTTTTATAAGTGAAAGGCTTCTTTGGCGCTCATATTCCCAATCTTTTTTGTATTAGTTTTAAATGATAATATAGGCTTATTATCGCCTCGTCATCGTCTTTGAAAGCTTCAGTTGCGATCTCTTTACACACCAGATTAAACAATTACTTATATTTTTGCTTCCCGCCGCCACAGCTTCCGTTGCTTTTTCTAAATTTTTGCTATGTCAGTCTCAGTACAAAACACTCGATTTGAATGAGAAAGATATTTGAAATTTCTAGTTTGTGATTTAACGACAGATAAATGCACTCTCTAAGCGTATAATTAACTCCAAATTCTCAACGCTTCGTGTGGTATTTGAATGTTTCACTTATTCTACATCTGTCATCCACTATGCGTTGATTCCTTTATTTATTTTTTTTTGCTAACCACTCACATCAGTGTTTAACCATGTAGGAAATAGTTAGAGAATGAATGAGTCAACTATCATGATTGACAAGGGTACGACATTGATTCAATTTAAGTTTCCTTTATTCTAGAAAACGTGTTTATGGAAAAAAATCGAAATTTTTTTCCTCGGACGTATTCTACAAATTCGTACCTGACAAAGCTGGGGAATCGGCTCCGGTTACATCCTGCCACAAAAGTTCTTACGATGATCAATCTGTCAGCTGTGATATAAGCAAGGTAAAAAAAGTTATCAAACTAAGTGTGAAATGATCTTAAAGATTTTAACACAAAACAGTCTTATCTGATTCTGAGAAACGAAATATTCCCTTTTTAGATGTAACGTTGGTTGAAAACAGCACCCGCCTTCAAACTTGATACTCGAATGATAATTATTAAAACTAATATTTGCTATCATTGTAGAACTGCTTATAAGTTTTGGAAAAATTTAAAGCTTCGACTAGGCTTGAACACGTGTCTGATAGGTATTGTTTACGATAAGTGCTACTTCCAAGCTAGTTTCTGTACAGGTTTTCCATCAACAACAGCTATTTAAATGTCGATGAGTGTTGTGCAATATATTATCAGTACTTACATTCAGAAGACGCTTGTTTGACAAAGATGATGCCTTCAAGTTATTAAGTTCTGCGATAGAATAACCTGAAAACAGAAAAATTCGAAAACAAAAAATATTTAGTGTGGGAACGATCATATCTTCGTAATGTTGTTGCTCAAAACGAAGCAAACAGCGATTTCATTTACACATTAAATTATTTGGAAAAAGAATTATTTTGTCAAAAACTGTTAATAACGAGAGAAACATTTAAAAAGATCTTGTCAGCTAACCTTATTAAGCCAAAAAAGGCAAACCCCAAAGTCAAGATCAGTCGCTGTATGTATACCAAGTTTGTTTGCAAATAATTGTAATGAGACAAAAAATTTATTTGAATATGAGAAGTGTTATTTGAAGATCTTGACGGGAGACAAGTTTCATTTTTCAACGCAATTTTCTCCTTTGGTTGAGTTGAAAATGAAAACTAACGTCAGGGTTAGAACAACTATGTATTTTTATCAACTATCATCTCATATTTTTTCGAAATGTTTTTTAACCTCTTTTGTTTACGATCAGTAGGAAGGATTTATCAGATATTGTCTCTGAGGAGAAGTTTGTCGAAATCTATAGTTTCATGAAAATCTCCGTCAGTGATAAACACGACAAGTGTGTATATCAACATTTCAACGCGCTATTTTTGCACGCGGACATAGTTTCGTACCTCTAAACCCTAAAATCTCATCGTTAGTCTGAATGAAAGTGTATCAAAACAGTTAAGTGAACTTACACGATGATCAGTCAGGACGTGAAAGTTTCATTTCTGTTTCTGATTCTGAATAGCTTTTCATCCCAAAACGTTTGTCAACGATACAATATTAAAATGCTGTCATTTAATTTATTTTGGACCTTTTAATTTTTTTCTTTTCAAAATATCACCATCGGTGATTTGTGAGCCATGTTTTTGTGGCAGTTACTGTGTTAGTTTTTCAGTGTGCAGCTAAATTTATCAGCGTTACCGAAATCCATACGTATGTGATCAACGAAATGAAAAAAAAAAGTGTTCAATATTTTTTCTAGCTCTCACCTGCTCCCTCCCAAGATCTTATCAGTAATTCTCCTTTCTATCTGCCACACAATGCTCATGGTATTAGTTGGGAGAATTTGTTATTGGATCAACTAATAATCCCCTAATTGATATTTGACTTTATTCTCATCACTTCTCTGCTCGATATTGTATTGATATTGTGGGGAGAAATTCTCTTTTGGTCGCTCCTGGAGGTTCAGGGTTAAAAAGGAATTCTGGAATTAAAAAAATATATTATTTGCCATTAAAAAAGGGGAACTAATCTCGTTACTTAATGTGGTTGTGTTTATAATCGCACAAACAAAGTCACAATTTTTTTTTCCAAAATTTTGTTGCAAAGATATCAAATGAATCCAGTAGCTCGCCTGATTATTCAGATGGAATTTGGGGTCTTAAAAAATCCCTTCCGATCACTGCTCTTTGCAGGTGCAATCAAGTTCGTCTATTGATAAAGATTCAAGAGGTTTTGGAGAGAGACACAACATTCAACTAGGGATATGAGGGGAAACAGTGGGTACGGGTACACTTTGTGGAAATAACACAACAGCATTACTTTGTTAAAACGGAAGTTTGATCATGGCGCGCTCGGCGGAGGTGTGGAACAACTTTCTTTGCAGTTCTTTTCAATTTAGAGTGGTGTGTTGTTCCATGAAGTTATTTAGTCTAAATCTTTTTGTATTTTTAGTCTCGAGGGATGAGTTTCCGGGAGCTAAGCTCAAAGTAAGTTCACCGGTTCTTTTTATCTTTTATCGAAGAGAGCCAGCTCTGCATTTTAATACCGGTACCCCAGCCCTGTTTGACGGCAGTATTGAAGGGGCTTGCTTTAGCGTCTGAACTTTTGTTCTAGCGCTCATTACTGGTGACTGGTTGCAGCAGAACTTAGTAGGTTTAGTAAAGTATCCACCAGATCTAATTGCTCGCGTACGATTGGTTCAAATCGGTCTAGAGACTGACATGGTCATGTCATGATGACAGCCAACTAGGGAATTTCCTCAATTGAATCACACAATCTTCAAAACCTTGTATTCCGTGCTAAAGTAAAGTCGAGTAAGGAGAGCATTTTCTCTTTTTTACAGAAGAAGAGACTTACTGTTTTCTCGAAAACGTCACTCTAAAAGTCAACATCTGTTTATGAGTATGTGTATGTGGGTGTTTGTGAATACTTTGTTCCCCTTACTACGAAAACATAATTGCAACATCTTCCATTTGACTTGGTAATATACCTGTTGACTTCTCTAATCGGCTGAGAAGTGGCTAAACTTCAGAATACCCGGCCACTTTGGTCCGCCTCACTTACATGTGTCGGGAGGCTTTGAAGATCGAGGCATAACACAATAGACGCTATTCTTATTCAATGACATGTAAATGAGTGGCCGGGTATTCTGAAGTTGCTCCAGCATATTTATTTTTACCCCCAATGGAAGAAATTTTACATATACAATTTTTGAGCTTTGTAAACTATCTTTTTCAGGCTTGACTCTAAAACTAACTTGAAAAACTGAATCAGTTTGTTCCCCAAGTTTATGATAATTTTTTGATAACTCCATATGTCTTCACTGACACTGTCTTTATCAAACATTAAAATATTATGGCATAATGCTTTTGTTTGATTGCATGAGTGGATTTGTAATTGGCCATGTTGAAGACAATATTAGCCTATGCATGAATCAACCACTTTTGGTGGTTAGTAGTGAGAATTTGGTTCTAAGAATGGCTGGAACTGGGTCTAGTTACTGGATATATATCACTTCAACAGTTTTAACTCTCTTGTTTAATCTGAGAATGTTATCTCAAATGTCCAATTATTTTTTCCTGTGGAACTTGTAATTACAAGTCTATGTGGATTCTGGACACAAACATTTTGTAGCTTTTATATTCTTTTAGCCCACAGATTAGTTGTAATTTTGGTGAGCAAGTGCTCAGTATTTTCTTGGTGAAAATTATAGCTGCCGTCTTTGATTTTTACGACAGTGAAAAGGTGTGGAGAGGAAGAAATTAAATTTGTAATAAGGTGGGGAGCAATGGTCTCAAAGAATGATAAGGGAGGGGTGGGGTAATAAAGAGAACCTCTACCTGCCCCCTTCCCCCTCAGTAGCTCTTAATCAAACATGGCTGATCAAAAAAAACAATTGCAAGCTTGATCATGAAATGTTAGCTTGCCTTATAAGATGCCTGCACTGCAGGCTACATTGCACATATTATCAAATGCCTGATGATCAAAAATTGTTTTTTTATTATTCAGTGAAGAGTCTTTTGATTTGTACTGGGAAGGTGAAGAGGACAAAAAGCGAAGGCCAAATCTATTTGATGATGATGATGACTCATCTTTTGGCTGGATCGACTCAGAGGAAGTGGCTGACTTGAGGAAGCAGTCTCGTCGTTTAGCAAGCAATGATGATGATGATGATGGTGATGAGGAACTTGGTGAAGCATGGGGTGGGGTAGAGTACAGTTTGAATCCAGGTATGATGTCACAAAAGAAGTGATGTAATGAATATTATAATAATTGGGTTTGGTGGACCTTGACCACTTTTACAGCCCTTTATACTGAAATTAACATCAGTATCCACATTCTCTATACTCTGCTCTATATATTTCCTTTATTACTGACAAAGAGATTTCATGTAACAATCAAAGCTTCTTAGGTTTGTGATTGTTTCCTTTATTCTTACAGTGTTAGGGATCAAATGATTCGCCAGTATTATTGTCAGGAGAAATTAGATGCTGATCACTTTTAGAGTTTATAGGATCAAAAATAACTAAACTCAGGGTTGTCATTTTGTGACTCAGAGCTGGGATATGGTCAGGCAAAAATAACAGTAAGTTACCAGAAAACTGACAACAAATCTTAGTAAGGAATTTACAAAACTGCCTTGTAGCAGTTTTTAAAGTTGAAGCCTTCATACTCAGACAGTCAAGAAGAAAGAGAAAAACTTACATGCAAGAAAACCACATGATATCAGTGATGCTTTATACATTCAAATGATCAAATGTTCTGAAAAAAATTTTTTCTTTCAGCATTGTGGTGCTAACCCACTGAACTCACTCCCTGAAGACATTCAATTGTGGGAATCTTAACCATCATTCAAAACCAAAATTAATGCCCACAACTTCTCACTATCTCAGATTCTAATGATAATTTCTTTTAACATTTAAATGTACTTTTTAAAATAATTTAGATTTTAAATTCAGTATTGGACTAACCACATGCCCCTTGTGTAAATCAATTTAGTTGATGGGGCTAGTGTGTTTTAAATAGAGTCTTGTAATTACTTAATCTCAGTTTAATATCAGGCTATAAATGCTTGGTAATAAAAACAGTTCCTTAATTGACAGTTGGACTTGGTTGCCAAATTTGAGACTTAAAAGTACAAATTCAGTTACCAAGATCTATTATCACAGGCTATTATTGGTCATTCCACTGCTATGACGTTTTACCAGGGCTTGGAAAAAATACTCTGCAACTTGCAAATATCCACATATTATATGTTAAAACCATTAAAAAAGGAATACTTATTATATGAAATTTTCTAATACTTATCAGAGTTATTTGCTCATATTTGATTAAATTTATTGATATTGTTTTAACAGTGTCAAAGACTCGCTCAAATTCAGCTGCTCAATCAGTGCGAGTCCACCCACAGTCTTCAGCCATGTCCAGCAATAAGAATGCCAGTAAACAAAGTTCATCTTTCGAAGGTGTGTAGACTGAATTGTTTTATCACAAACTGCTAAATTTGTATTTTGTATTATGTTAAAAATATATGATCATCCAGTAGATTAAAATTGATTATACAGAAAAGTAAACATTTTGGATTTAAAAACCATTGATTTAGAGCATGTGAGAACTTTGAACTGTAAGTCTCAAAGGAGCATTTTATTTTTGATACTCTGATACTCTACTGTAATTAAGTTCTCCATATTAAACTTGTTGCAAGGTGATAAAAGAAATGTAAACAAAGGTAACAAATCTGTTACATATTTGCCTTCCATGATTGCTTATCACCTACTGGTTTTTAGAGGATTTCAACTCATGGAAAAGTTGAATTGGATTGGCTGCAAACTCTGAGGGAAAGTGAAGATTATAATTACTAACTAATGCAGCTTATCAAGTACTGCGCATTGGACAGGAGAAATAACAAATTTTTTCCATTAATTTTTAGTTGTCGACATTTATTAATAGTGAGTTACTTTGATCTATGTTACTGGTAGGTACAAAATCTCAAACCCCACCAAAAAGACCACCAGCTCTATCTGCACAGCGAGTGATAACCACCTCATCATCCTCTGTAACTACTACATCTTCATCATCCTCATCAGTCTCACTGTCAGCAGCAGCTGTGAGAAACCAAACCTCCAAAGTAACAACCACTCAAGCTGCTTTGCATAGTGTGACATCATCAATAAAAGATGGTAAATGGCTGGATTTTTTTTTTATGTGCAGTATCCTACTCAGTACATATACAATATTGACCAAGCGTGAGGTCAAGATGGTTGGATATTGGCCAAATTCTTTTTTTGTTTGTTTTTTTTTTTAAGCCAAAGTTGATGTCCATAAAAATGCATCAAGAATTAGCTTGTTCAAACAAGCTTGTTCAATCAAGTATTTGGCTTTACTTATTATTATGAATCAAGAAGGACTTGTTTATTTCAAGACCCTGCAAAGAAAGCCCACTGTGTTTGTAGCACTGACAATAAACCCACAAGAGTCTTTAATTTATGTTTTCTAAATGTTTTGACTGTCTCTTGCTTGTTGATCTTCTTGTAACTCCATCACTGAAATTGTCCAAAAATTATGCACTTTGTAAATGCACTCCATGCACTTTCTTGCACTGGATTAAAAGAAGCATTCTGAAGCAGGAAAGATGGGCCCATCTTGCCTGCTTGGGTAGCGGCAATCAGAACACAGGAATAGCTCCATATTGCAGCCATATAATAAAGTGCTGCCAGTCTAATAATTAAATCAAATTTTGAGCAAGCCTTATTTTTGAAAGTCATTTCACTTCCTTAAAATTTGTAAAGTTGGAGTTGCATCCAAGTGGCTTCATGAGCTGACAGTGTTGTCTTTGGGCATGATAGTTGTAGCATTTATGACATTTGTATCGTGGTTGGGAGGGCACAAACTGTCAAACAATATAAAAGTAGACATCATTGACTGTCATGCAGTTTGGACATACTCTAAATCAACTGTGATTGTAATAATTTACTGTGGAAGAAACCTGAGTATTTGACAAATGTTTGATAAATGATAATGCTAAGGAGTAGAAAGTGGGCAAGAGAATGAGAGGATGAAGAATGGTGAAGATAGTAAGTACAAAATGTGATTGGTTGAATCAAGGGATGATGACACTAATTTTTAAAGTGTGGAAAACAAAAGAAACATATTTGCTCCTTAGTGATGATTTTGAGCTACAAACGAGAAAACAAGTAAAAACTTCAACTGCATTCCTGTTAGCTGCCCAAGCACATTGTCTGATCAGACATTACAAACATAATAGGCAATGATTGATCAGAAGCTGAAATCAGCAAATGATCTCAACTCATTTCAATAATTGTTTGATTATAAAGGAAAAGCAGAGTTGTGAACGCCTACCTAACATCTTGACAAATGTAACAAAAAGCTTTATTATATAATAATTACATATTGCTTAATTACTAAACGTGTAGAATGTTGATGTTTTTTATTATGATCATGTTTTACTCTTTTGTCATTCAGTTATCAGCAATGCCCCTCAAGTCTCTGTCATGGAATATAAAAGACTTGAAGCTGAAGTTAATCGGCTGAAGAAAGATCTACAGGTTAGAATTAGACTTGGCCATGAATGGCTGGTTCCTGTTGTGGACATTTCTTTTTACCATGGTGCAAATATCCTCTTCTCAAATATGGGAGGATTATGTAATGAACAAGTAATGGGTTCCTAGATTTTGTGTCATTTGTAGCAATAATGATCTAGCATGATGAACTCTGATAGCTACAGATATGTTTTAGTTGGATGAAAGGAAAAAAAATACATATTAATACCAACGAAAACAAACACACAGACAAACAAACAGGATTGGTAACTGAAGAAAATTACCAAACTCAGTACTTGAGGTCTGCCAACATGACAACCAAAGAAGTTGGTGGGGAAAAAAAGACAAATATAGAAAATTTGGAATGGGGTGGGGTAGGGTGGGGTGGGAAGAACTTGAGAACCTGGAGGAAAACAGTCAGAGCAATTTTTAAGACAAGAACTGAAAACAAACTCAATCAAGAGATCAAGGAGTTAAAACCAGGCTATAGCATTGGAAACTATAAAACTCTCTCACAATTATAGCATACTTCCTCTTGCTAACCTTTTCACTCCATGGATCTCAACAGTATTTCTTCTTACTTTCTTCCCTCCGTCTTTCATAATGTTGCTTCTGAGATGTTGTTGTTAAGTCAATATTGATATTATTTTTTATTCTTATCTCCTGCCTAGTTTGGAATTTTATTTATATTTTAGGGAATAATTAGTTACAGAACATTCAGGAGAATTTGGGAACACATTTGTCGTACTTAGGATTGCTAATTGTCTCCTGCATTGACAGTTTTGTGAACTTTAAACTGCAGGTGGCACAAAGAGATAAAACAGCAGTGCCTTCAGTTCAAGAGACTGTTAGAAGAATTATTCGCGGGGAGGTAAGATTCATAATATTATTGTTACATTGGATTCTTTCAATAACTAGACTTCTTTCAGATAGATTTGTCTTTTCAAAGCTGTTTTTCACTAGTAGTGGTTAGTAACTTACTTGCCGAGAAGCATTCAGTTTTAAAGAACCAAAAGTAGCATTGATAATGATTTTGAAGTGTTCACACCATTGAATTTTTGAAACTTCACTTTCATCGATCAAAAGTTAATTTTGTGGACATGGGCTGTGCCTGAAACAAATGAAAGATTTAAATCTTGACTTTAAAGGAACTTCTTGCTTATGTAAACTGAACTTGTCTCCATGGTGCCATACAGTTCTAAGGAAATTTTTTTTCCAAATTTTTTTTCCTGATGATAAATTGGCTTTCTGCTTATTTTATCACACAAGGAATATGGTTTAGAGGGGGTGGGGAGGGGGAAGAATTTGATGATGATCTGATGCAACAGTACATCATTGCTACAACTGCCTTTTTTTCTCTTTTAGCCCTATAACCTTGGAGTTTATAAGTCACTAAAAGACAAATTGGATCTCCTGGACTATGCCATTAAAAAGCATGATGGAAACGCAATAACTGCTGTAAGTAACATTGTTACTTTCTGATTAAAATCTTTATTCTTTGCTTCTTAACTTAATAAAATCCTTCTTTGCCTGATTATTTTCTTTGAGGGTCCTTTAAGGCATAGAAATTTTTTCAGTGGGTTTCCTTATGTGTTGGATGTAATGACATATGCATATCAACCCACTACAACAAAACTTTTCCAAAAAAAGATCTATGACACGTATGCCATATATACCAAAGTTCCCTCTCCCCCCCTTCCCCACTATGCTCCCCTCCTCTACCCACAAAATCTGGATTTTCCTATCATTAAAAGTTAAGGAACCTGTGGTTAAAGTGGGGTTTCTGTGGTAAGGATCACTGTCCCGTTTATTGATTTTTCAGGCGGTCTTGTTCTTGAGGAAATCAGTAAAACAACGTAAGTTTTTTTAAAAAAATTGTTTGCAAACCCTATTATAAGCATTGTTCATTGTTTGATGTGTGTTTTGTTTAAACTTATTCAATTAATTATATTTGTCTCTAATTCTGTTGATTGGTGGAATTAAAGCCAGCACAAATTAGCTCCAGTAGTTGAGCAGTTGATAAGATACCGTTAATATCATTTTCAAGGCTGTTGGACCGTAAGGTGTTTTGTTCAGTGCCACAAAGAGATGGAATGAAATCTTTAACGAGGGGGTGGGGTGGTGTTTAGGTTTTCATTTACTAACAGGAGGAATAGTAAAAATGAAAGAAAAGTAGTACTTCTGTTTTTTCTCAAAATGGGAACGGATGCATTCATTAAACAGTACATACCCACGTCGCTTAAGAAAGACATCATTAAAATAAACTTTTGCGTTTAACTGAAAATGTCTCCGATATACTCTCCCTACAAGACCACGTTTGTCCATACACTACTTTTGCAACGCATTATGCATGCGGGGCGACCTCCTCTTTGGCTAAAATAAATCCAGCCAATGACATCAGTGCTCGTTAAGGCAGCCGTAGTTCTTATACAACGAAGTTCCAGAATGCTGATTTGTACAATGTTTTCAAGGTATCCTTCATGATGAATTGACGACGCGTCCCAAAGCTGTACACCACTTGAGCAAATACCTGAGCGAACATTATGAGTATACTGAACTTACAGAGTTGTATCGGTATGTATCCGGGAATTTCATTAAAAACAATTACTGGCGGTCTACTACCGCTGTTAACCTTATAACTCTCATAAGTGACCAGGACAGAATGCCAGACAGAGTGTTGTTGCAAGGTGTTATTAGATGATTTGTGTTCAGTATTGGTTTTAGAATCGCTAACTCTGTAGTTTAACTCCCCATTGATAACGTCACAATCCTATCAGGTCAAGTAAAGTGGAGGTTGTTTTGTTTTGTTTTTTTATTTTTCAGTAGCAGAGATTATTAATTTGATGAAACAACTATCAATTGCAATTTATAAATCTCATCCCTTTCCTCTCTCAAGCTCTCTGTGTTTTTGACCGGGTCAACATCTGTTTGAAAATGTTGCTTTTGTTGTTGTTTATTGTAGATCTGTTGGTAAATACGAGGAGGCAGCGGTAAGTGACAAGAAGATTATCAGAAAAAGCCTGAATAGGGACTGTAGTCATCACTGTTCGTTTATTTCATTTGTATCGTCTTCATACATAGGAGACGCGGTTATCTAACGGATAACACGCTAGTTGTTTGAAGGATGGATAACGCTATTTGTGTTAACTCTAGTCCGCTGGATTATCTAACGGATAACACGCTAGTTGTTTTAAGGATGGATAACGCTATTTGTGTTCACTCTAATCCGCTGGATAGCAATTAATCCTTTGGATAGCGTTATCCGTCTTTTGAACAACTGGGCCAGGGTTGAGAGGCATGGGTTCGAAACCAGACTGGGTCATTATGTTGTGTTCTTGGGAAAGATGTTTCACTCGTACAGTTCCTATTCATGGAAATTGCGGAATGCTCCGGCTTGATCAGGGCCGCTTGCGTTGAAGAGGCATTTTACATTGATCTAACCTTGCATTGATAATGACTATTTTGCCGGTCTGTTTCTCTACCAGATGCTTCAATTTAAACAGGCCATTAAATCAAAAGACCCTGGTGTTAGATTAACCAAGCTTAAATACGTTCTCAGGTAAATGTCTTAATTTTTTCCTTAAGAATTTCCAGTTCACTTCTAAAATACTCAATTTGTGTGGTTCATCGGGTTTTTTTGTTTGTCACGTCAAAAAAAAAAAAAAACACCCACAAGGTAAGCGACAATAAAAGCATTCAGACAAAAACCTCCGTCTTCACACCTGCATTAGTGTTTTCAAAGTTTAGTTTCCATGACACCGTCCTTTTCACCTTAATTTTGATTTATCTTTAACTCATTTAAATGTTCATCTTCGTTTTCAGACATTATTTTGAAGGTCATCTCGAACTGGCCGAATATACGACTTATCTGACAGAATATGTTGATTTATTGGAGCAGCAATTACTCATTGAGGTAATTCTATGAAATCTTGAAGATAGAAGCTCGCTTTCATTGGCTGGTGCGTGTGTTTAGTTGAGAACATGCAAACACGATTGTTACTTTACGCTTGCTGTGTTTCTCAGAAATATTTTATAAAAGTAATAGAGGTCTTTCTCCATGTTTAATAGCCTAATCTAAACGCAAGGCTTTTGGGAGAATTCGAAAAAAAGTTAAGCAAACCGGGTTTGCATAACTTTCTCGAACTTTTTCAACCCCCCTTGTCTTAAGATGAGGTGATTTAAACATGGAAGCCTGCTGTTGCTAAAATACAGCAAACGTGTATTAATTACGGTGTCGAAAACTGCCTCAACCTGGTTTGATATAAAGAACATACATTTTTTTGAGGACGAAAATATTACCTCACAAAGCTTAAAACTGAAAATTAAAGAAATAAAATTTTGTTTTGCGACGATCACAACAACCACAAAAGAATATAGAATTATCCGAATATGCTCTTGTGCTTTTGAACCCTACAACTGACTCATTTTCCTTGACGTCATTTTGACGTCTTAAAACCTGGAAAATAACCTTTTCCAACTATCGTTCCTCCAGTTAGAAATCTCCCTTTTTTCTTTTGCCCTCCAGGACGCAGATTCCCGAGCTGAACGTGAACGAAAGAACCACGTGATGGTAGCGCACCCGAGGCAAGCTTCGTTACCGCTGTGCTCAGTGATTGTGACACTATACTACTGCTGTCGATATCATTTTGGAGAGCCCGAGGTATAAATTATTATAATAAGGACATATATAAAATGTATTTTTTGTGTGTGATGAGTTAAATCTCCTTTTTATATTACACCTAATTATTTGTAATTGTTCTTTTTACTTAAGAGTGTTTTCACCAGTCCCATGGCTATTCGCGCTAGATTTAAGGTAAGTTCCAAACGCGATGTCCTGGTGCCCATACATTGGACTCCGGGTCGAGAGGTGCAAAGTTTTTTTTTTTTCATGCAGTGAAGGCAGCTTAAGGTGTTTGCGTCAGCCTGTAGTTTGCTCGAACAACAAACCCGTTAGTCAAATGTCAAGCTTTTCGATAAATGCTACCAGTGCACGAATGTAATAAACCCGTTTGGGAAATTCTTCATGAGCGTGCTGTGGGCTTGCGTGAAGAATGTTCCTGTGCGTGTGGTTCATGCGTGTGACTAATAACTTTGAATTTTCACTGAGCGAGTCTCTTTTGTTCTTTTTTTTCATTGCACTCAACTTGAAAGTTCTTCCTTAATCACTTTACGTTGACCTACCTTAATACTCTAATGATTTTCTATAGCTATCCGAAAAGCAGTATGAATGGACAGCGTTATCTTCCCGAGCCAAGCTAAAACAATGGAAAGGCCTTGAACAGATGTTTACAGTAAAAGTACGTTTACAATATGGGGAAATAGCATTAATTCTCTTATGACTAAATTCGGCCATTATGAGCCGAAAGAAACCCAACTTATGTTAAGTACATAACTACAAAAACACAAAGTTTCGTATTTAAAGGAGATGTGCTGCAACATTGTAGTCATTTTTTTCGACGCGAGGGAATAGAAAACACGGAAATGTTGACTATAAAGGTAGAAAAACGTCAAAATGAGAGGAATAAGCCAAAAAATGAATGACGATGGTCGAGCATGGAGAAGATTGATATGAATTGCCGAAAAACAGTAAACATTCAGGCTCAATGTTTTTATTATGTAAAAAGAGCAGATTGTATGAGCTGAGCTGGGAAACAGACTCCCTTTTTTCAGCGTCAGTCTGGACTAAGGAATGGCGCAGTGGTGAGAAGTCTCTGTTCCTGCCGTTGTAGCCTGGGTGTGAATTTCATACTTGGCATAACTTTCAGGTTGAGTTTGTTGTTGGTCCCAGCCTTTGTACCAAGTCTTTTCTTCAGCCTTTTCAGTTCCCCCCCTGCAGAAAAAAGGCTACATTTCATGTCATAAATTCGTAGATTTATAACTACTTATTATAACTACTACGAAGGTGCCATTGTGTCATTCCCATGCATTTATTTTTTTCAAAAATTTTCTTTAAATTTTACTTTAAAGCTTTATTATGCAGCTAAGCCGGTTTAAGCTGCTTGCAACAGACCCCAAGATATCCACAAATCGGTCCAAGTTGCCTGTATTAGCGAATGACTAATTGTTTGCGCGTTTGACCAATTGCTTTTGTGTTTATATTTTAGGGATGGTTAGGTAAAGTTAAAATGAAATCAGCAATAGGATTCACTCAAGTCGTCGAGTTGCTTCATCAACACGGTGCGACTGAACAGGTATTACAATAAATAGATAAATAAATAACAAAGTAACGTCGCGTCAAGGAAATTACTGGTAAATTTAGTTTTGTAATGTTAAAAAGAGACCAAAATCATTGGCTTTAACTGTGCAGCTACTTGTTTTTGGATCTCTTTTTGGAACGAGGTTCGTACGAGACATCACTGTAGTTTATGAATGAACCAGTTGAACTGCTAGACTCTCACACTGGCGTATGGCATTTTTAATTGATCGCTGAGAAGATTCCTTTGCCGCAGTGTCAGTGTACAACGGAATTTTTAGTTTGAATTTGTCAAAGGCATGATTGTGACAGATGAGTGGCTTGTCGGCGCAAAACCTGTCGAGAGAGCTAACCAAAAGTTTCTTTTATTTTGGATACAGTGTGGTGCATCGCACTTTCCCTCTTTCATCTTTCAAATTGGCAGAGTACAAAGGCTATCCATATGGATGGTCAGTCCACTACGGGCAACCCTTCACGGTATTTCGTCACGCTTTTGCTGAAAACACAGCTCGCATTTCTTCGTTTAGAGAGGTAGAACGAGTGAGGAAAAAATTTCCGCAGTGTTCTCCTATTGACCCTAATTACTGCTCTCACTAGGATCTGTTGACTTTGAGTTGCGCTAACTTTCTTCCGGTCATAACTCCCACACTATGTGAATTATAATGCCTTATTTACCCTCCTTTATTTCTTTATTACAGGTGTTAAACACTTACCTTAACTTGATTGATGATCTTAACCAACGGCTTTCAGCGGCGACGAAAACAAAATGCCATCGTGCAGCTATTGAGGTGACATTGTCTTTTAAATTGTTTTCCAGCTTATTTAGTTGAAACTAGGAAGGAAAGAAACTAAATAAAATTGATAAGGTCGTCCGATGAGTGTGTGATAACAAAAAAGAACTCGAATATCACATCCTTTGGCTAATTGGCTCAGCAGAAATTCATTGTTTCCCCTCCCCAAAATATTCCACAGTTCCCCGTGGTCCAGTTTCCTTGTTACTTAAAACACCTGGGGTGATCTTTTGAAGCTGTCAGTCCAAAACAAAATTTCGCTATTTATAACTAGAGAAATCTCATATTTGTGCCCTGGTTGATGAAAAGCTCCCCTTTTACTACTTGCTTGCCTTTCATGACAATGCTTTGATACGGAAGACTCAAACGTATCTATATACATATGTTACAGACCTTAGTTGCGATGAAGGATCGCCAACAGCTTGAAAAATACAGAAGTCAGCTGAAAGGAACCGCGCCCGAACAAGCCATAATCTCAGAATACCTAAAGAACTCTGTGAGTCCATATTTGCCTTTGATTCACTCAGCGTGTAGTTTTTTTCGCTTTGTTTTTTACGGGCTTTTTTCGTAAGGCAAATAAATAAAGAAATTTCACACTTTTTTTTACACGTTATGAACCACATTTTGAAATGATATTATTATATTCTCGAAATGTCTTTATTTAAAAAGAAAGACATTTCAGGAAAAAACACATGTTCTCCCCCATCTTTATTGTGTTTTGTTTGTTCCTCGACTTCTTGTTTTCCTTTGCCTGTGCTCTTCATTTATCGCTATTTGAGTGCATTCAGAAGCGCTTCTGAAGCTGGAACCCTCTTCAGTGTCAATGAATAAATGCCCTTTTACATTCGAAGTCGATCGGTCGAATTCCTGTTAAGAATAAGCCGTATTTGTTAAACTAATTCTTCATCACCAATTTATTTCCTTACAGCAACTGCGATGGAAAAACTGAAGTCCAAGAAATTGAAGCTGGAAAATCAATCGTTACATTTTTTAGCCTAGGCGTCCACGTAATAAAACGGAGAGAAATGTATACGGCGCGATTGCAGCGGCGAAGTGAAAAAGCGAGAAAGATTTGGGTCTGGTCGGGTCGTGTCGTGTAACCCAAATCTCCCGCGCTTTTCACTCCGTCGCTACTATGGCGCCGTTAAATATTTCGCTCCGTTTAACCAAACAAACGCCTGGAACAAGGAATATATATAGCTAGAAAGATTTCAAATAATACAGTCACATTTAAAAAAGTGGAGTCGTTCAACGATAGCAACATGTCGTATGTTACCAATTTAAAATAAAAAACAACTGGTAGTTCTTATGTTGTAAACGTTTGTTTGTCAGTTTTTACCAAGACTCATCCAAGGCTCAATTTCCTCCTTCCAATTCTTCATTGCTACGCATGTCAACATTCGGAGAATCTGGAAAAAACGCAATTAAACTAACTAAGGGTTCAGCGGATGGTTTTTTGTTTCATGTTGCGCCTCTCATGTCTCTATTAGTTTTATCTTCGAGCACGTTAAGAGAAAGATGTGCAAAACAAACAATAAAACAACAACAATAACAACAACAACAAAACACGCTTTAGCGCGAGTGATAGCAAAAATTTTATCCATAGCCGACAAAAGTTGACCGAACTAATGATGTGATCCAAAATCTGAATCTCTGAATGGATAGAATCCGTAATCCAGTCCGAAACTTCCGGTCGATGGTCGATAGTAGTTCAGATGGTCGATCCACGATCCATCGTTTTCTTCAAAACTTGGAAGGAAATCAATCATGGCGCCGATGCCTACACCAGTGCAACTTCGCCTAAAGCTAATCACATGTCGCGTCAAACAATAGACCCCTGAAATTCATAGAAATAGCACTAGAAGCGCAAACTTACAATTTCCAGGAACCCAGGATAATGGGTTCCTGCAATCTATCTATCTTTCACCCTCTACATCCGGTTCGGCGATAGCACGCGGATTGTCCTGGGAATGAGATCTCTTCGGCCCCAGGCTCCCAATAGTTTCCTGAGTACAAGATGGCTGATTACTTTCAAGAAAGTAGAGCGATGTAACCCCGACAACATCCTTAAAACAGACGTGCTTCAGGAACTGAAGAATCAGCGTCGAATTGATCAGGTATATCCTGAACTCATTACGGAAAACTTAAACTACGTCACGTTAACATATGCGTCGTTAACCGTCTTGAAGCTAGATATTACATAACACGAGTTGTCCTCTGCAAGACGTAGTGTATTCCCAAAAATCATCTGAAGTAAACAAAAAAAAAACCAAACAAACTAAAAAAAAAACTGGGGGCCACCTAATTACTAGTGTACATATTACTAGAGAGAAAGCATCAGGAACCCTCGGATACTGTCATTTGCGCTGGAATTTATTTTTGGTTAAACTTATATTGGACAAACTCGAAAGAGCTAGCTCGAGAGAAAAAAATATATTTTGTAAAATTGTTCGTCGTGCCCTCGTGCAAATTTTCTGTATATCGTGTCCCCCTCTGTTAGTAAATGTGCGTATGCACTCAGCATACTCAAGACAAAACAATAAGTTTAGTTAGTGTGTTGTAAAGGACTAGCTCATGGTATATTTCTTTTTGAATTTACTTTAAAAGAATAATTTTGTGTGATGTTAGTTTTAAAAACGAAGTATTCCCTTTCCCCTTCTTTGAATGTAGCTTTTATTTGTAATGTAATCCCACATAAGGTAATGCTGTCATTCAAGTGTATGCAAAATATATACAGCAGAACTGCACAGCTGTAAAACTAAGTGGCAATGTAGAAACCAATCACTTGCAAGTTCTAAACAGTAGAACATAATGCACATGATGCATGATGCATGATGCTGAGAATGGCTCTGCATACAAAAGCACTTGAGTTCTGCTGGTATGCTGTGATTTACTATCATAATGGTAACACAGTGAAATGTGATTTGTTATTCTCTTTCTGTAGTCATTATCAGATTGCCTACCTCAAAGGAAAACTTAAGCATGGCTGATAATTTAAGCAGGGCTGATTTTTTAAGCAGAGTTAGTGGAGAGAAACTTAGCAATTGGATTATTAGTTTTTTCTGACAAAATTTGTGTATTGTTTGCATTATGAAAAAAAAAATTGGGGTGAATGTATCCAATACCTACAACAACAGCATCAACAACAAATCTTTTATTGCTTGCAAATAGAGGTATTACAGTGAAATAATAAGAAAATTAACTTTAAGTACAGGCAGTTAGTTTGATCTTGAGGTTATCAAGTCAGCCCCTATCGAAATAATAATTCTCCTTACTATCTGCCATACAATTCTTCTGATGTTAGTTTGGAGAATTTGGTATATGATCAACCAGTAATCCTCTTGATATTTTATTACTTTTGTAAGGAGGCAGTTTATTATCGCAAAGAGGGGCAAGAGAAAAAGAAAGCAGACTTGATAGATGATGTAGTATTACTTCATAAGACAGAAAGTAGAATTTCTATTTAAGATTCACTTCTTTGGCAAGAGAGAATGCATTTAGGTCTTTCAGGTAATGAAAATGTTGTGCGAGGCACAGATCTACAGTTTGTAGCTTACTCCTTTGTTTGTAACTTCAAGCTACAGAAGCTGGGATTAGATGAATCATGAATATTGATAAAAATTGTGTTTAGGGCTTGCTAATAAGGGCAGTAATCTTGAATCTGGCAGGCCCAAATGATTGTACATCCCACCCCTGATCAAGATAATAATGAGTGTACTTGTTGTTTACCACTACAGTTCTTTGGCTGACTAATGGTCCCATTTTCTGTTTACAGACAATAACATGAACTTGATAGCCCATCACAGCAGATATGCAGTGCCCTCGACCCTGCACAAAGTTGCATGCATCTGGAGGGTATTACCTACTGTTATACTCAAGACTTTTATACCTCATCAATACATTGTGACAAAAAACAGCTCAAATTTTTCATTGTATTCATCATTCAAATCTGCGAGTACCCAAAGTAAAGGGATGCAGCCACAGAATTGTTTACTGTCACAGGATCACCAACAGTTGACAGGAATACCAGCGTTTTATTTAAGAGAAAAAGAGGTAAATGAGAAGATTAAGTCCAAGCACACAGTTCAAGATCAGTTGGAATTTTATCAGTCATGGAAAGATCTGAAGTCTTTAGTGAACAGCATAACAGCACTTCATATGATCGCTAAAATTGTCAAGAAAAACCAGAGAGAAAGAGCGATTCTGCAGAAAGAAAGAGACAAGGAAATCAATGGTACAAAAAGTGCATACCATGAGATCCTAGATTTTATTTCTGATCAGATTATTTCCTGTAAAGGGCAAGGTCTATCGAATGTCATTTGGTCCTTAGGAGTAATTCAAGAAAAAGACCACCACCTGGGTAAGGTTTGTGAGGAAGAAATTCTATCGCGCGATATAACTGCCTTTCACCGAGCTGAGGTCTGTTGTCAGATTCTGCCGGGATGTGTTGGCTTGGAACTCAAACACTCGCTAGTTTTTAAACGCGTTGAGGAAGCCATATTGGCTGAGAAAATCAAGTTGCATCTTTGTGAAAATCGCCATATTTGCGCCATCTTGTCTTGTTTTACCGAGGTTGGTGGCGGAAGTTTAGAATTATTTGAAAAATTACAGGCTAACATTGTGGAGAGAGATTTTAGTTCGTTGCTCGTTGAACACCTTGATCAGATCTTGCACTGTTTTGCCATCAAGGGCATCTTCTCTGATCAGTTATTCAGCCAAGCAGAAGAAGAAATTCTGCTAGAGGGGTGCGGTAACTTTCGGATGATAGAACTCGTGAGCATTCCACGCGCGTTTGCAATTGCGGGTAGTGGAAGCGAACAACTCTTTGCAGCTTTCGAGGAAGAAATCTGTCGAAAACGAATCAAATATTTCCCATTATCTTGCCTATGTTGGATCACTTGGTCTTTTGCCATAAGAGGTTTCACGCAAAGTATGGTGTTTAAATATGCCGCTCACGCCATCTACAATCGAGGGGTGAAAAATCTCAAAAATAGTGGCCTTTCGCTGTGTCTGTATTCTTTCGTGTTGGCGGAAAGTCCTTCACGAGTTTTCGTAAAGGAATTAGGAAAAGAGCTTCTTTCTAGAGACTTGAGAATTTTCAAGGGTACCCAGCTGTGTCAACTGATGTGGGCTTGTTCAAAAGCCGAGTATTTAAACCCAGAATTACTTCAACGTTTGGAGGAAGAGATTCTCCAACGGAACTTGACACAGAAAGAGGAAACCATATTATCTGAAATTTTAGGCAACACTGCTAAGGAAGACAAAAATCCGCCTCCATATTTGCGTGAACTATGTATTTCATCAATATAGACAGCTGTTTGTATTAGTTCTTTTATTGAAGAGAAACAATTAACCTTCAGTAAATGTTATTACATGTGGTCTGAGGAAAAATATGATTGTTTATATTGCATTACCACCCGAGGCGAGTAAGAGCTGAGCGCAAAAGGCGATGGCGACTAGAAAAATTTTCCAGACACTTACGGCATGTGCAGACAAGAGCTACGAGGTGAAACTGAATCGAGTGCGCAAACTCGAGGCCTCTTGTTTTTCTTGCCGAACTTTCCTGGAAAAATAAACTTAAAAATAGCGTAAAAATTCCCGTTTCGACTGAAGTAGTTTGCTAAGCTCGCGACCAAACTGACTCGTCCTTAGTCAGCTTCATGCTAGGATCTTGTCTGGTATCACTATTTTCACGTAACATAACCTATTAATACTGTAACAGGGCGCGATTCGCGCATGTTACCCTATGTCAACTCGTCAATAATCTTTTTACAACGTTCTTCTAAATCTTGTTTCCCTGCTTCATCCAGCAACGAAATCTGCCTCGACCTTCGCGTTTTTCTCTTTTTCTTAAAAGTCGCTGCTTTCCTTTTTGCATCGCCATTGTGAGATTCTTCGTATGTTCTCCCAAAAGCCATGGTTTTTCTTTGCGCTTGAATATTCTCACTTAACATTGGGGACTTGAACGTTTTTCTTTTCTTTTCAGCCAGTGACCTTTCAGTAGCTGCTTTTATTCCTTTTTGTACTGATTTAGTGATCGGTAGAGATGGCTTCTCCATGTTTGCCTTCACCAATGGCCTAGCCAGAAAACAGGCGTAAGCATAATCCACAGCAAACCTGTAATGAAAAGATTCATCAATAAACGAGTTCCCATAACAACATTACTACAATTTACGCCAACAATTGACGAGAGTAAGGAAAATTATCATGGTCGGAGCGTTTCTTTGCGTGACAGAAAATAAAGGACAATCAAAACTTAGCTTAAAACGAATGCTCGAGATTATTTGAGTCAAACCTTAAGGGAGACATGGTACGCCTTCCAAATCGTTAAAAGTAGGCACTTTTTAAATGTAGTTTTAAGCGAGCGGAAGTAAGGGCGAGGATTATGCGTAACCAAATTAGGCAATCAAATGAAGACTTCAGTTCTTTTTGCCTTCATACAGATAAACAGCCGATAAGTAACTTACAGCTTCTTTGCAAACACTTTCTGTTCACATTCCACGACTTCTTGCGCAACTCCAATTAATGATAAAGACGATTTCACAATGATGTTCCACATGTGAGAAATACACTGCCTTGCCTTCAAGAATAACAAGATAAGGCAAGGGGTTTAAATAATGATCTCTTTCAAAGCTACAGTTATTCATTGCTGGGTTGAAGACAATGGCTCGCTCGCTCCAAGCGCGCCATTTTTGAACGCAACTGCGTCTAAAAGTTTATAAACTGAAATGGGTAAAGTTACCGTCGGCCAATTTTCGAAATAAAAACAGATTCTGAGAGAGGAAAGATTTATCTGCCATTTGTCGTGCGTTTATTTTGCTCCTTCAGTTTAAGAATGAAAACATAATTTCTAACCTGATTGTCTTCCTGTTTCATCACTAGTGTGGAGAACTTGGTAAAATATGCATTAAAAACAGAATTGATCCTGACTATCAGTTGTTCAATCTCTTTGCTCCTAGTATCAAATAAAGCTCCTTGCTTCAGAAAGTACCGGTAGTACATGAAGAGGGTAGGTATTTCAAACCCTGCTAGAGACTTTAATGCGTGTCCTGTTTTCCCGTTTCAAGAAAAAATTGATGTATCTTTGTACCGACTCCGCCAAACTTCATTAGACTCGAGTCCTTCGGAAAGAAAAGGGTGAAACAGGTGTTTTGAAAGTAATTTGGCGGGCATACCTTTTTTTGAGTGTGAAATCAAGACTTTAGAACACCATTTAAACGTATCTACAGCTTTCTTACTGTCACATTTTTTTCACTAAATTAAGCTGGTTCACGTTTCTCGTGATGTTCATTATCTGAAACATTCTGTATGGTTGAACTGAAACCAGAATCTCAAGGTGAGTACCTACCCTGACTGGTCTTGCACCCCATTCCTGCATCTTCCTTTCTGCCTCTTCTGGTGTGATGTTGCAGCTGGTAAAGAGGGCGATCAAAGTTTCTGTTACTAAACAGCTAAATGCGTGAGGTCTCCATCGCTTCTCGGTTGTGTCCTCGCAGAAGAGGCACTGTAATGTAACATAGGAGATAACCATAATGAGAGAGAGAGAGAGTAATATCTGTCATAGAGGGAAAATTGTCTCTTAAGTCTTTGTTAGAAGCGTTCAGTTGATTATCGAGAACTTTCTCCCTTTGAATCTGCTGTGTAAGTACAGTGTAGTTCTGCGGCTATATGATCGTATAACATGACGGAGCGATGAATTTCAACGGCTGTACTGCATTAATTCAGTATGGCTAACTACAGTATTCCGTATCATTTCGTTTTGTTGCGTGGCATTCCGTCACCACTCGTTATGTTGAATCCGTTGAAGTGCGTTACAATTGATTTAGCGTTGTGTTCAGTTAAATTTACAATGCAGTACGTGGCGTTGTATTTCGTTAACGTAACCAGTACGTTTCATTATTTTTTCATATTTCTGCGTCCATGAGATGAATCAGTTGTGCAGTATTTTTCACACCATTGTTCCTGTACATTAAAACGAATTCATGTTAGTGTGCTTTTTCGGTACTAAGAAATTTATATGCTTATCGGTTTATTTGGAGTTTATCGAATTGAAAACGCTAACCTGCTGCACCAGTAGATAAAAATATGGCCTTAGCCTGCTGAAGTTTACACGCGCAAAATTCACTTTCAAATTGTAGCCTGGAGGAACTTGAGCCAGCCTTGTATTAAGTGTTTGTAATGTGTTCCAGTGAGACCTTCGAAGAAGTTTTAATCTTTTTTTCTCCACCTATAAGAGAGAGGCAAAAGATAAAAAATATATATATCTACATAAAACAACAACAACAAAAAAAAAAACAAAAAAATGCTTGGGGTTGTACAAAATGATATCGATCAATTAAAATCCCTCTCTTCTCTGGATCTTAATTGGGTATCGCAATCTAGACACTTTCACTGGCTGTGTAACGAAGTCTCCAGAAATTAATAGAACATTGATTTAACACAACGCTATTGCATAAGCTGAGCTAGAAACTTCTCCATATTCCGGAACATTCTATTGAGCTATTTTAAGGATATGTCATCATTAGCGTCTAGAATGTTCTTGCTGCTAAAAATAGTGTTTCAGATATAAGTATGATGTAATCGGCTACTATAAATAAGGTTCGAGATCGTAAGGTTTTCAGAAGTTTAAGATAAATAATAAAGTGTTTAAAAAGGAAAACAAGAATCGTTTCCTGGCTTCGTGACAGGCTGTTAGAAAGAAAGAAAGAACACAATCCCAGGAAACAGCAAGTGCTGAAAATTACAAAAGTAATGTCTGCAATTTTTAGCAATTTACAATTAACTTAGTTTAAAAGATTATCAAATACAGTCCAAGAGTGCTCATTTGCATGCTATTAAAAATCTTCCTTCTTGTTTAAAATTCTGTTCTTTTTCATTTTTAACCCACCTTACCTTGTTCTGTGGCTGGTGATGAAACTGAAGTTTCTGACTCATATTATCATAATAAGCTCCATAACTTTGATAACTTTGATCCAGACTGCTTCTAAATCTCCAGCTGCAATCTGCAAATAGAATAGAGAGGCTAACCATAACCTCCTTTCTGCTGTTTTCCTATTACAGTAAAATATTTGGAAAATTGAGGTGTATGAGAGATCTCTTTTTGGAGCAGAAATTGCCATGGAACCTTGGAACAACTTGACTACTTTTCATTCTTCTGTCAACATTTGCTGCTCTGCCTTCCACAAAGCCACCTCCACATACATGCTCAGATTCATGCACTTTATACAGTTCCTGGAAAAGGGCATTTTGTAACAAACATAAACCAACCTTTAGTTCGTCCCACATGATGATATAAATAATCAAATCTGCAGTTCCCCTTATTAATGACTTCCATTGTCCTATCCAATACTTTTTCCAGCTTATGCTTTGTTGAACTCTCATTATTATCAGATGCAGTTTTTAAGTCCCTGATTTCCTTTTCTGTATTTTCGGCTAGATCTCTGATGTCAGTACCAAGACAGGATTGTGTCAGAGAGTTATTTGAGGTAGATGCACTAGTAAACATTGGCTCAGTATCTTCTTGAAAATTGTCGGGACAAAAATTTGTAGATGGCATTGTAACAAAAGATTGATCTTGAGATCTGCACTTGAACTCATCTTGGTCTAGAAGAGAGTCCAAATTTGGGAATGTGATGGATGTTTCTGCACATGTGGTATTTAAAATAATATTTTCCTTTTCAGTATTTGCTTCATTCACAAGCGCAGTATATTGTTGTTTGTCCAGTACAGAAATATGTGGGTTGGCAACTTCTTGTTCAAAGGAACTGCAATGGTCAGGAAATGATGAGGGAGGGGATGGTGGGCGAGGTGGTGGCGGTGGGAACTCCTCATCTGTAAAGTAAAATCAAATACAAATTCTGTTAAAATTGATATTGGACATGTAAACATCAGAAAAGTACCATGAGAAACATAGGCTGAGTGCCCCTTGGTCCTTTGGGCTCATGGGTCTGACTGCCATTTCATTTTAACCCTTTAACTCCCAAGATCTGATTGTTAATTCTCCCCTGTAGCTGCACATTTCCTTGTAAATTAGTGATGAGATCTTGGTGCTAGATCAAGATAGCAGCTTCTACCTGATAAGGTTGAATATTCTCATTACCTGTTTTCTGAAGAATGTATGGATATTGTAGGGAGAAGTTTTAAGTTAATCACTTCTGGGAGTTAAAGAGTTAACCAACTGATCCCTGAGAGTGACTACCTAATCTAATTTTACCATACTATATTACCTCTGAATCATGCATGAAGGTCATGAAATTAAGGAAAATAAACACCAACTTAAGAAGCTCTTGATTGTTAAACAAATTCTCCTTGTCAGCACCTTAGGTAATTTTTATAAAACAGTATGGAGAATATGTATACTCATGTTAGGGTGTATTGGGCTAGTAATTATTGCTTCTGTATCATGGAGGAATGTGTGTTACCTGGCAAAGGTGGTGTCCAGTGTGATTTCTTGCATTTCTTCCTAAAGCGGCATCTTCCATATTTCAGAAATAACAAACAAATCTCGTTTCCAGCAGAATCCAAGGGAATGGGTGTCCCTGATTTGGTAAATTTCACACTAGTCAGCTGTGAGCGAGAAGAACAAAAAATAAACAAGAATTTTTAAACAAAAGAAGAAAAAGAGAAGGAAATACAAATCCTCTGTAACTTTTGATTACGATCAAGATGCGTTTCACTTTGAAAAACCTATTTTTTAATCGTTGTATTAATAGGCACAGGAACAAAGATCCGGCTATGGATCTTCAGGCTCCGTAAAGAAACTGTGCATCTCATGTCTGAATGGCGTGTTAACAATGTTTTCTTTTTCTTTACAGAAATAAAGAGAAACCTGGAGATTCTAAATCTTAGCAGATTACAGAAAATCTTGTGTTAATACTTTTGGCGCGATCGACTGATCTTTGCATGACACTAACCATGTAAACTTTGACGTAACTTCCTGATTCTCCCTGACGCTTTGAAAACAACGAAAGTGCCAGGCGCCGTGAAGAAACTTTGTGTCGTTTCACATCTAGTTATACCACTGACCAAGGAGGTCCTGGTTTTCGGTGACGAATTTGCCATCGAAAACTGGGGAAGTAACGAATAATCTCCTGTATTTTCATCACAAGTTTTTGTTTTTGGAATATGTTAGTACAGTAGAGGTTTAATTCTAAAGCTGCCACAGTGTTGGGCATAAATGAACGCATATTCTGAAAGAGTGCAGGCGCGGAAGTTTATCTTCGGTTCATCTCCGGATTTACTTCGGTAATGTTCGTAGTCCGGTGTGCAGGAATTTGATAGGATGATGGTAGAGAGAAGATGTCATGTGATCTTCAGTGAGGGCAATCTAAATGTCTTCCATTTTTGAGAGGGGATTATCATCGAGATAGCGGTTTTCAAGACGAGGTTCGCTTTTGCTTTTGACCCAGTCTGAGAAAGAAGGTATATTCATCTGCGTACATCTTTAAGGAACCTGCATTGCTCCGGTAGTGGAAATTAATGGAAGATCGAATGACGGTTTCTTTGGCGGGTTCGAGGAGCCTCTTGCACCGATCGATTGTCGCGTGCTAAAAGCTAGTAAATGGCGGCATTCATGGAGTAAAACTTGTTAAAGGTGACATGGAAAACGACAATGGAGGAAAAGTTCCGGTGTCTTCTCAGATCCCAGAGAATGATTCAGGATCAAAGTATACAATACCGGGAATTTTGCACTTCATTCAACACGAATGGGCTAGATTTGAGATGGATCGAGCGCATTGGGATGTCGAGAAAGCAGAATTGCAGGTAAACTTAAATCGACTTTCTGGTCCCTCTTCGAAACCTTTTAACTTAAATACGTTCCTCGAATATCATTTTTGTCATTCAAAGCGACCCTTGTTACATCAAAGCGGTATATCGGAGGAAAGAGTTGTGTACTTATTTTCGTTTATAGTAAAGTCAGTCTACAAAATGAGCTTCGATTCTTGCTTATCGTGTCGGTGTTTTGATCCAATTTTCGGTTACTTCTGAAGCGTTCTCTCAGTATTTTCTAACCGAAACTGAATCGAATAAGCACCATTTCCATGTTTATTTTTCTTTATGTAGGATTCTGAGAATGTTAGTTAGTATAGAGCCTAAAATTTTTAGCAACTGGTTGTCCTTCCATCGCTCGATCGACGCCTGTTGGTGGAATCTACAGATATTGGTCCAGAGAGGAAATTTCGACAAAGTAGCAATTGATGCTACTTTCATTGGCTTTTAAACACTTACCGTCATTGGAATAAAAAGAAATGTTCTTTCAGCGGTTGTGGAATATTTAAGGTCAATGATTATGAAAAGTTTTGTGTACATGTAATTTGTATCTTGAAATTTGGCCATTTTTAGACGATCTCGAATGCTCTTTCGATAATTGAATTCCCCTTAGCTTGCCCATGTTTGAAAAACAGACTGATCTTATTTCCTGGACGTAAATTTGGTTGGACGTATTCGAATTCGCTTGAAAGGCTTATTTCTGTTCTTGTGAGGGTCGATTTTTGAATGGGTTTATTTCAAGTTGATTAACATTTGACAAAGGACCAAACTCCGCATGTGTGTACTGTCTGTGAATATTTATTTGGAAAAATTACCGATCATGTTTGAAATAAATTCTCAGTGTTCATATAACTAATATTTTAAAAGTGAAGTATTTCTTTTCATTTTAGACAGTGCATTTTTGAAAAATTCAGAGGTGACAGAGGAATACTTGTCTAAATTTTATTCAAATCTTATGCCCGACTGATATTTTAACACTTTTAAATAAATAGCTCTTGTGATGCATATAGCTTTATCAGTTTTGTTTACAAACAACAGTGATCTAAATACATCGCTATTCATAAGATAATCAGATGCTAATAATCAATGATATTTTGTACAATACTTTCAGTCAAGTTGACTTTTATTGTAAAGAGGGATTATGAGTTATAACATTTAAATGAATTATTAAGCATCACCAGTGGTTCAAGATCAAAGCTTCTTGAATCTCTGATCAACAAAGACCTGTTGCTTCCCCCCAAAAAATGTTATTTCTACCCTTAAATGTATTTACTTTTGAAGAAATGGCTTATCTCATTTGAAAGTTTGACAGTTTCTTAATTGACTCAAGATTGAAATGACAAGTTTTTTAAATCCTGACTATTTTTGTGGATTTAGTTTTGTTTGTTTATATATTTTGCTCATCTGGTGTTTATATATTTTTGAATTTGTCTGTTTAAGTTCTTAATATCAATTTCATTTGTTTTATAAGTGTTACTATGTTCAAGGTTTTATTTTAAGCTTATTACCCACTTATTGATCCCAATTAAAATAATTTAGAATTTGTGTTTTTGAAAATATCTCCTGGTTATTTTTATCTTGTGCAATTTTGTCTTTGCTTTTGAAAAAAACCTGTTTATATTTAGATACAGAATGTTTTTTATGTCTTGTTAAAATTAAACCTATGAATACCTAAGGAATTGAAAGTGGTAGTAGTAGTGATAGTGGTAGAAGTGGTAGAATTTCCTCATTCACAACAACAACAGGGCTGTTTTTTGAAGAACGAAAAAAGATAAGAAAAGCAAAAATAAAAAAAAAAAAACAAAAGATAAGTTATGAAAATAACAAGTGTATTTGAATTGAGAAAATTTGTTACAGTAGAGGATTAAGATCTGTAAAATGGAATAACTTCTGCAATGCGCTTAAATTACATACAGTAACACTGTACGTGAAGCGCATCTCAGAGGTTCTTCTGCTTTAAAGATTTAATCCTCTATCACATGAGCTTGTCAAAGTTATCAGCCAGAGGGCATTAACATTATATAACGCTAAAGGCTGTTAACTTATTGACAGGAAATAAAGACTTGCACACTTTGAAGGAGGAATTACTGATATTAGTGCAATCTTTTCACAGGCTCGTATTGCATTTCTACAAGGGGAAAGGAAAGGACAAGAAAATCTTAAACATGATCTGATTAGGAGAATCAAGATGTTGGAATATGCTCTGAAACAAGAAAGGTATCAGTGATTATTATTATTATTATTATTATTTACTTGGTTACTTGTAACATGTTTATCATTGTTGCCATTCATCCCTCCATACGCTCATATCCCTAACCAATTTATTTTGTTTCTTTTCTTGCAGAGCAAAATATCACAGACTTAAATATGGTACAGAAGTGTCACCAGAAAAGATTTCAAAGGAAGAGGAGAATGTGAACCAGGAAGCTCATAGGGATAGCAACACCAATAACACAAAACCAGTTGTAAATTGGCGACAGGGTCGACAGTTACTTAGACAGTAAGTTTTACTTTGGTTAAAGTAGCCATTTGACCCTTTAGGGTGACTAATATCTCATTTCTCTCTACATTATCACCCTTGAGACACATATTAAGGTCATGAGAATAAAGGAAATGATCATGAACTAAAGAAGCCTTTGATTGTTGAACAAAGTCTCTCAGTCAGCTTCTTAGGAAATGTATAGAGAACAGTATGGAGAATATGAATGCTGATGTGAGGGTTTGAAGGGTTAAGATAGGAAAATGCCAGCAGATGAGTCTTAATAATGGGGGATAGCAACAAGTTTGTGACCTTTCACTCTGTGCAATGGAACAAGAGTCACAGCATGCACACTTTAACTTGGCTGTGGATTAAATTGTGCTTATAAAATTTGGTCACAACTGTAAAAAAATTACAGAACAACCTTAACCTTCAGACTCCAAAATCAGCATGTAAATTCTCTATATTGTTTTCTATGCATTGCTTATGGCAGTGACAAGGATAATTTAGTTGAAAGTCAAGTCTCTTGAGTGGGTGATCATTTCATTTATTCTTGTCACCTTTATGTCTAATTCAGGGTTGATATTGTAAGGAGAAATTAGATGCTAGTCACTCTGAGGGGTTAACAGGTTAATAAATGGTAGTGGGCAAAGTGCATTACAATATTCACCGTGTTCTCCCTTATTTTAAGCATGACAGGTAAAATAAATTTTCAAACCAGTAAAGCAATCCTTTTACCTGTTGAATTTTCAAGAATTCCAAGCAATTTTAAATGGTAATAAGAGGTACAACAAGTGGTAAATGTTACCGGTTACTGCCTGAAAAGGAGAACACTGTATTCAGGCTTTGGAATTGAACAGATTGTGAAGCCATTCAGAAGGATAGTTTATTTTTCAAATTGGTGATAATTGTACTTTTAATAATTTTTTAAGGAATAAACTTAGTTACCATGGTCCCAAATTGAGACTATGATAACATAAAGGCTATGGAATAAAGGCAAAATCAAATGTATTATAAGCAGAAGAGGGATTATCGTTTATTAATTGTGGTTCATCATCTTGTAGATACCTTCAGGAGGTTGGCTATACAGACACTATTTTGGATGTGCGCTCCTCGCGAGTGAGATCTATACTTGGTCTGTCAGTAGCAGATGGTTCTGCACCAGATCACCCCCAGCCAAATGGTATTTCTGGTAAAAGCAGGGGAAATGAATATGCAGTAATTGAAGAGCATGCACGATCTCCAAAAAGAAATGAGGTCGGCATCATCAGGAAGTTGCCAGATGAAGAATCTGATGGTGCTTTGCCCATAACTTCTGGGAAACGGTAAGGGATTATTATCATTATTATTATGAAGTGGAACCACAGTATAATGGAAACTTGTATGTAGCCACTCCATAAAATTAACCGTCTCTTTTACTGTCACCTCTTGTTGTTGAAAAAAAGTGGTATTCACTCATTTCCTTAGTTTATGACCCCATTATTGTAATATTAGCAGGAATCCCTCTCAACCATAAATAAGTAAGTTTTTCAGTGAAAGTAAATCCACAAAAATAACAGTGGCAAAGGCAACCAAATCATTTTTTTAACCAACAGGATTCTGTGATCTGGGCAATACTATGGTCTCCTTTGTATCACTGGAGATTCTTTTTTCTAATGTTTGGTGCTGTATGGCTGAAAACCAAATATATGGCTGTATGTTGGAAATATAACATGTGCTTGGAAACTTATTGCATTAAAGTGCAAAGAAATCCAAACTTTCAACAGTTTTAGTGACTTTGTTGAAAGTTTTGTGTGGATGATGATAGGCAGATTTTCGGTACAGAAATTTGTGTTCCAGCTTTTTGTCCATGGTTGATAGAGCTTTTTAACTTTCTTGTTTACTTCACAAGGATTTGCTCACCATATGAGTCATTAAGTTAGGGTGCAGCAGCAAATATAATTTAGATGGTGTGCTCAACCCAACATTCATCACTATGTTTTGGGAATTAAAAGGCAAAGGTAATCTGTTAAAATTTCTTTCTGGACTAATTTTGTTCTACAACAGGGTGCCAGTGCGACCTGTTGTGAATTCAAGAGCACCTATTGAGGATGATCTTGAGACAGAAGCTGCAGTACTTGCCAACTTTGACTTCCTGCAAAATGATGTGGAAGATGAGGAAGATAATGAGGATGATAATGATGATGATGGAGGAAGTGCTGATGATGAATCTGATGACAGGGACGACTTGAGACTAGGACGGAGGATGGGCAAGAGAGCCAAACAAGGTGTGGTTCTGCTGCCTTTTAGTGAGATGCAAACCCTTAGGGTCAGAGCAAAACTTGCTCTTTTGTTTCATGGTGTTATCAGTCATCAGTTATCATCGTAACAGCCACTGAAAAGCAAAAGTGAACAAAATTGATTTATGATATTTAACAAGACAAATTATCACCTCTGGCTGTCATCTTTTTGAGTCTTGCTTGAACATGGTTACATTAAGCCACGTAATTGAACCATACAATACTTGTTTGTATTATGGTATTGCAACAGTATCAGTTATAAAGAGAAAGATAGTGAACTGTTGTTGTTCCTCTCAAGATTTGAGTAAAGATGCTGTTGATGAAATGCTCAGCGTAGATGATGAAACTGCTGATGCACTGGCAGAATTTGATTTTGTGATGGGTGAAGATTCTGGTTCAGAGACAGATGTAACAGTGATTGAAATGGAAGACAATACTGCTGTGTTAGAAGATATGGATATTACTATGCCAGAGGAAGGAGAATACCCTGCCCCTCAAGGTAAGAATTGTAGTTCTTGCTTGTTTTAATTTACATTTATGTTTGTACACTAAACTGCACTTTCTGGCCATTCCGAACATACATTGTGCTTTGTGGTGATATCAGGGTAACAAATGATCAACAGCCAAGAGAACTAGAGAGTGATTTCCTACATTTTCTTTGCGCTTGGCTTAATTGATTCTAGTTTTTTTAGCTTTTCATAGATTTGATGGTTTATTTCTGCTTAAGCTTGAAGTTACCTTGTGAAGAAACTTTCAATTAACAATTTAAATTCTTTTATACAAATTTCTTTAATTTCCCAAAACAAAATTAATGAGTGGTGATATATTTATTTTGTAGATGCCAGAGATGGGTCTGACACTCAGGTTTGTTTTGTTAAATACTCTGCAGTTACATGCATTATTTTTAACTATAACTTCCAGTTTTGAGAATAACTGTTCATTACAAACTCTGACCATAAGTCACTGATGATCTTATTGTTGGTAGATGCTCTCAGCTGTGGTCTGTTTTACACAGTCAGTTAAAAATTATTGCTTCAGTACTTCTACTGTGTCATGTAGTGTGAATCTTTCCCTTAACCCATTAACCCCTAAGAGTGACTGGTGTATAATTTCTCCTTACAATATCACCCCTGAATCACTCGTTAAGCCCATGAGAATGAAGGAAATAATTAGTAACTAAAGAAGCTCTTGATTGTTTAACAAATTCTCCTTGTCAATACCATAGGAAATGTCTGGAAAACTGTTTGGAGAATATGCCTACTGATGTTAGGGATTAAAATGTTAATGGAATGTGCACTGACTTGAGGTCATGTTACCCTGGAATATTGGCACAAATACCAGCCTACCACAACTGTGTAGCAGTTATTCACATGACCAAGAATATCTAGTATTTTGAAAGATGTTTTTTAGGTCTATTAAATGTCCACACGACAAATCTAAGTGATGAAAGCTGTTTATTATATGTCTGCAAGGTTAAGGTTAGGGTTAGGTTATTTAAAAAAAATATAAGTTTCAATTTGTTTGTTAATATTTTTTACTCAAGTTGCAGTTTTTCTTTTGCATTCTAGAATGAATGGGGAGTTGATTCAAACTTGCTGGCCAAGTTGAAAGAACAGTATAAGAAAGAAAGAAAGACTAAAAAGAGTCAAAAGAGTAAGTGACAAAGTTCTTTTACTGATTATTTTTGATTGATAAATTTACCTGTTGATGATTGATGCCTCTGCTAAGCAATGGGGTCATCCAAGGGTTGGGGGATATTTTCTGCTGTGGATGCACAGGCGGTTGGCTTATCCAATCCATCCTGGCAAGAGACAGTGGCAGAATGGGCAGGGGATGCTGGCTGCAGACAGTGGGTTGCTTGCTGTTGCCCTCTTAGCTCTCCTGGCCTGGGAAAGTGTAAGATGACTCACACTGCTGCAGCTTATTGTAGCAACCTGGGGTATTAAGCATTTTGTCTTGCTTCCCAAACAGTTTGGGTACTAGGTTTGTTGGAATCCATTCACACTCCTGGGTAATGAGGCACCATGGGAGTAAAGTGTTTTGAATAAGAACCTGGTACAACAAGTTCTCAAATGGGAACATCTCATTGTGGAGTCCTTGGAGGGTGGGCAGGGGAATAATTACTGTATGTGGAATGAGTTTTATGGGTTTTTTTTTTTAATGTGGAATTTTTTATTTGAATTTTCCCTGTAGGACCACCAAGGTCAGCATTACAAGCCATGCTAGCCAACTTGGAAGGAGAGGATGAAATGCCTCAGTCAGCACCTTCACCTGCCATTATTAATGTCCCTCCACCAGTTCGGCTGAGTGGAACTCGCGCCACATCTGAGATCCCACCCATTGCAAGTGTTTCTGTCCCAGGGAACGCAAGTGCTGGGGGTAAGCCTTCTGTGACCACACCCATGGCCACTGTGGATGAACCATTTGAGAGTGCCCTGGGTCTTGGTGAATTGGCAAGTTTAACTGTTACCAACGAGGCAGAAGCTCTCTCTTACGAGGTGAGTGGATAACACACTTGTGTCAATGTATGTTCAACTTGAAATTCAAGGTTTTTCTTCGATGCTGAGAAGGAACTGTCTGTAAAACAGAGTGATTTCATTAAAGGGGTGATTACCTGCGTACTGTCAATCTGTTTAGACTATGCACGTGCAACTACATTAAGAAAATCATAATGCTGGGTTTGTGCTATGATTATTACTATTAACATTATTACCATCATTGTTACTGTTTTAAAAATTTTTTTGGTTAAAGTTAACAATTTCAAGGCATTCCTTCAAGTTCTTTTTTGTTTCCAGTATTCTTACTGCATAGATATGTTTTGTTTTTAGCCAAACACAAAGGAAGAGTTCAGGAAAACATGGAGCCCAAAGTTCACGCTAAGAAGGTATTTATATTTGCTGGTTCGTTTTGCTCATAGGAAAATGATTTTTATAGATTGGGTGGGAAGGGAAAGGGGAATTGATCTTCATATCATATATCTTTGTAGATTGGGTAGGGAGGGGAAGTGGAATTGATTTTGATGATGAGGGAGAGATGATATTAGGGAACAACCTATGACCTATTCAATCCAAGTAGAAAGTATTTGAGACTTTTTTGCTCTGATTTTGTTGTTCTGATTTTTTGTTGTTGTAGTTTTTGTTCTTTTCCTGTCGGTCACTTCAAGGATTGTTCATATTTTATCACACTGTACAATTTACTTTGTATTTGTCTGTTTATTTGCAGTCATTTTGATAGCATCAGGTCCTTATACTTTCATCCGACTGAATCAGCTCTTATAACAGCCTCAGAAGATCATTCACTTAAATTATGGAATCTTCAGAAAACTGTTCCACAGAAAAAGTAAGAGGAGGTTTACTTGTAAAATCAGCAATAATAATAATAATAATAATAATAATAATAATAATAATAATAATAGAAAGAAGCAGCCCTTTACATGTCAATCCTTGCTACTCAAAGTTAACAGTAATAAATTTTTAAAGGAAAAGTAAGGAATTAGGACCAGCATGGCCGGTGGTTGGACAACACTTTTACACGTTTTTATTTGTTTTTTTCTCAGGAACAATGTGTTGGATGTGGAACCAATTTATACATTTAGAGGACACAGGTGGGTTTTAAGAAACTTATCATTAATTTTCCTCACTTTCCAGGGCGTGAAATTGCGCCTAATACAGGCGCCAATGCGACTAAATTTTTCACTTTGGCGACCAAATCCTGAAAGTTAGTCGCCAAATTGGGGACTAGAACGTTTCTTCATAACCTTACCAAGAGATATAGTGCATTAAAAAGATTTGCAAAGATAAATCCGCGGCAAACTTCCTCGTTAAGTTTGTTTCCAAAACGTAGCATATGCATCTCGATCGATAACTAGACGCCATCTTGGATTTAGATGAGCCTGAACGTTGTATATCATCCATCCTAGTGTCCACTTTGTAGCACGTTAAAGATCTTTTCCCTAACTTAATTTTGGAGGGTCTATCTAGAACGCTGACTGCGTAAAGAAAGATTTTGTTTGTCTTTGAAAATGGCGACCAACTTTTTTTGAATTGGCTACCACTTTGAAGAATTTAGGAGCCAAGTGGCTATCAGAAAAAAAAGTTAATTTCACGCCCTGCTTTCTGCCATGCATTTCCTGGAAGGTCAGCTCAGAGAATTTGATTTTAAATCAAACACCGTCTCGATGTTGACATTTTTCTCAACTCATAACGTGTCCGCTTGAGATTGTATTGACGCGATAAGGAGATATTTGTTATTCGTCTCACTTGGAAGTAATCGGCTTAAGGTAGGGTGTACACCAGCGATATTGTTAGTTCTAAATTATCAACCGTTTTCTGCTGTTCTTTTGTAGTGCTCCTGTCCTCTCAGTCGTAATCAACTCTACAAGTGAGATGTGTTTTAGCGGCAGCGCTGATTCAACCATCATCTGTTGGAGTATTCCTTCTCTTGACATAGACCCGTACGGTCCTTATAGTAAGTTTCTAATATCGTAAAAGTAGTTTTAAACTAAGTTTTTTAAGGATTGTGGGATGATTGTACTGTTTTTGCCTCACTACCGTCGGTGATTGGTCAAGAAAATTCGCGCCACTTTCTTCACTAGATGCAAACTAAAACCAATCGCGAGTTGGTCATTCGCGTTTTCTCGCGCTTCAGCCAGTTTGTCAGAGCTGTCAATAAGATAGGAAGACGGCCATGTTGTTTCGTTAGATGACACGCAAGATTTGAAACTATTCAGTTTAAATTTACTTGGCGTTTTACGAAGTTCACTTCAACCTTTTGAGCTAATTTTGAACGTGGAATCGATTCACACTTCTAAACCTGTTACCGATCGATTAAGATATTCATTGTACTGAAAGGCTGGGAAATGGCTGCGATACAAATTTCTTCAATAGTATTTCCATAGTTTACGATTTCTCCCTAGAACTTGTGGTAGAATGCAGTCAAATTAGTTGGCTTGAGGTGGCAGACTAGCCCGTAGTTTTGGCATGCGAACGGGTCGTATTGACAGCTTTGAAGGGAATCCGATTTCTCCTTATCTTACTATTGTAACAATATTCAACGGGTTTCTTAGATGAACTTTTATATCGTTCCTATTCAGATTCGGAAAATCTCAGCGGCATGCTCGTAGCGCATACAGATGCAGTGTGGGATTTGGCAGTTCAGACGGGCTCGCTACAGTTACTTTCTGCTTCGGCAGATGGAACATGTCGGTTATGGAGTCCGACTTTAAAATCCCCTTTACTGAATAGCTACATTCCTGAACAAGGTACAGTAAATCACTTTCAAAGTTTCAAGTACTAATCACAGATGTTTTATAAGTTGATTTCCCAAAATCGCCCGAATACTTCTAATAGCTTCAATAGATTAGGCAAGCGAGTTTTCTCGCGCACGACACTCCTCTTGAGACGCACTACTCTAGAGATTTGGTAACCACTGGTAAAGCAGGGAAGATTTTGAGGTCAAAACCGTGTCACCAATCTTTTATCTCGCCTCCTTCAACTAATAATCGTAGTATTTAAATGGAAAACTATCCATCTCTCGCCATCCTGTTATGGTAACCCTTGGCGATAGGCTAGGAAATTCGTGTCTAAGTGCTCATGACTTTTTCTTCACAGAGGGCTGTGGTGTTCCCACGTCGGTGGACTTCATCCGCACTGAAACATCACAAATGGTAGCTTCTTATTCATCTGCTCAATGTATTATTTATGATTTGGAGACAGCGGCACCAGTTGTTTCACTCGACAGCGCAAAAACATACAGTAAGTAAAAAACAGCGCCCATTCGAAGGCACTAATTTTTCTATCAGCCAATTTCTTCGTCGCTCAAAATCCTCAGGTCAAAAGTTAAATCTGTTCTATAAATGATTTGTATGGCGACTTACGATGTTATGTAGCGAGACAACCGATAGGCTAGTAACAATTTTCGGATCAATATCAATGTCTGGGCAACTGCCCACCTACCCTTCCCTTAGCTCAACATTAACCTTAACTTGTTGTCAATTTACTGTTGTTGAGTTAGGGGAGGGGTAGGTGGGCAGTTGCCCAGATACTGATATTGATCCCAATTTTCTTGTGATGAAGCCACTCATTTTTCACTTTTTCACATTTTTCACCTACTCACCTTTTGAGTTGCTTGAGGATTTGTCAGTTATGCAACATTGCTTTTTCTTTCTTTCCATAGATAATTCACCTTCTACACAAATAAACAAAGTAGTTAGTCATCCCACCCTTCCCCTAACAGTCACAGCGCACGAAGACCGACATATACGCTTCTTTGACAACAACACAGGTAAGAAAATAAAACGGCAAACTGTTTCATGATTGGCTATTTGTGTTTGATTGACGCTTATGCAGCTGCAATCTTCACTCTTTAATCTTCTTCAATCTTCACGCAATCTATCACTCGTAATCATACGAGTGATAACAAAATGGAACGACTGCGCCGCGAGGGTCCGATTTGTTTCTCACCAGTATGATTACAGACCGAATTGGACGACACGAAGTCTTATTATCAGTTAATCATTAAAACTACAATTTCCGAGAAAAAAAGAATAGCCAAGTTATGATAGAAACGGAAAATTTGCATGAAAAGACTGACAAAGGAGGCTTAAATTATTTTATGTCGTTCTGAAACTGACTTTGAATGACAACTTGAAAATTTAGTATTGATAATTGCGTAATACAAGTCATTTATTATTATAACTTTGAATGTGATGTTTAATTTGAACTACAACTTTGAATGTGATTGGCTTATTGAACTGTCAAAGGCCTCCGTTTTCACCTGCCAATTTCTTGAAGAGAAGCGTTTCCATTATGAGGACTCAAAGATCGCTTTTGGAGTCGCTTTTAAAAGTCTTCGTTTTCATTAGCATTTGCAAACGTATCAGTATGAATGAAACGACGAAAACGTTTCGAAAAAGAACCTTTTTAAAGCGAAAACATTTTTGCGTGAATATTTCTTCATCAAAGGCTTACTTCCACTTTATTCGAAGGCCTTGTTTGAAGCGGAAACCTTTTAACAAAGAATTTTTCTCTTTCCTGAAAGAAACAAGAAGCGTTTTAGAAGGTAAAATTTGCTTCGCAATCGGAAATGAAAACACGTGGCCTTCTAGGGACACAGATCGAAAAAGAGGATGGCAAAGATCCCTAATGTGTCTTGTCTTTTGAGATGAGTTGAAAAGACCTTGATGGCGTTCAGTTTCTACACATGAGTCTTCTAGGACACTCTTTAAGACACACAGAAGAATTTCGAGGTACCCGGCGAACCGCAACCGAAGCTCTCTCTCTTTCTCTTTCTCTCTTTCTCAATAGTTAAGCTTTTTTCTCCCTAGCCGTTATAAGTTTTCTCCTTTCAATCTACGCTTCTCCTCGGAAGAATCATGTCGAACGGCACCGTTTTGGTGACAAACGACTTGGAAGAAAAATTCACGGCGACTTCTATAGCTCAGTTCGTTTTCCTGGCAACCATGTTCTTGTTCGCTGTGGCTGGAAATGGTTTGGTTTGCTACATAGTTTACCGCTTCAAACATCTACGCACCGTGCCGAACGCTCTGATCGTAAACCTCTCGGTGATCGATTTGTTCAATTCTCTGGTCAATATGCCGCTCTTTGTGAGCTTCTACATTTTCAGACTGGATGTCTTCAAAGGAAAGTGGATCACCTATGTGTTTTCTTCTTTGCATAACTACATCATATACTTGAACGTGTTGACGCTCATGGCCCTAATGGCTGATCGTTACGGCGCCATTGCGTTTAAGTTTCGGTACCACTCTTGGAAAACCAAAAAAAAAGCGTACCGCGGAATCGCTCTTATCTGGGTCACGGGTACGGTGTTGATAATATCCTTAGGTTTTTATCGCGACAGAATTCTATCCCATTATGAGGACTTGCCTCTGATGGAGTACCGTCGAATTTTATATAAAACTGGGGGTTGGAAAGTTGCTTTGGCCCTGTTCGGTGCCCCTTTGGTTGTGATAACCGTTTTAGGTGGACTTATCTGGCGGTCTGTCAAGGCAAGTCGTAAGCGGATCGAAGACTTAACTGGTAGAGATGAATGTACTTCTCAAGGCAAAAAAATGCTGGACCTCCTCCGAAAAAAAGAAATTCAAACCACTCGGAACATTATTATCGTCGTGGTGACTTACTTCGTTTGCTTCGTGCCTGCAATGGCGCTTGGTATTTGCCTGAGAAGAGATATCACAGTTCCTTGGTTGGAATACTTCGCCTTTTTCTGCTCTTATCTAACCAGCGCGTGTAGTCCGATCGTTTACTCGTTGCGCACTTGTCGATTCAAACAAGTCATCCGAGAGCTGTTCACGCCAAATAGAAATCGCCCAGTGTTTCCAGTTGAACTATAAAACGTGAAAAGCAATTGAAACGTATTGACAAGTGCATAATTTTTTTTGAAGCCACCCGACAATGTAAAGCGAAATCTTGTCTTTATTATTTAGCGACAGTTGTGTTGTATTTTTCTAAGGAAAAAATGTAACGAGAGTGGACATTTTATCAAAACTTATTCTTTGAAGATACTGCGGGACAGAAAGACTTAGAAAATAACAGGCAATAAATGCATGCATTTCGCAAAAATTTTTTTCTTCGCTTTGGTTTATTATTCAATATTTAAGTGCTAATTGGGGTGTACGAACAGATTATGGTGTTATTCTTTGTCAGCGGACATAAGCTCTCGAATCATTAAAGTCTGCCTCTTCTAAATCACATTTCGTGTTTTATCATTTGACCTGTACGGCCACGCTCATGCAATCCAAAAGAAAACCATGCTAAAAGCTGACGTGTATAGGGGCGGACAGGCTGACGTAAGCGGGTCCGGAAAAAGCCAGCCGACCCCGGAATTCCTATCGTGGACGTAAACTTAAAATAAAACAAAAAAAGGGGAAAAAAGTCGCGCTTTTCGGTGAATTGGGTGGTTTCTAATTCCGATTCTAAGGAAGGAAGAAGAAAAATTTAATTGTGAACTTTTCTGTGGTGTTCAGCGCGCGCCCGTTTATGTATGAAATCGCGTTCATTTTTGGTTCAAACGTAATTTCACTTTTTGCACAGATCAGACGTCCTCTGGTAAAATACTGAGTTTGTTGGAGCCGAACGGGAGAAATATTTTACCCGTTCGGGCCTGCCGTTCAGTACACAAGTATATTTGTTTCGTTAAAATTTTAGTGAATAGGTGTTATTTTTAACTCGTGCAAAGGAGTTTTCATGGGGACTCCGATACGTAGACACTGTGGTAATTAGTCGTCCCGAACTCGCCCAAACACGAAATCATAGTAGAGTGGTATCCGCGCAGAAAACGATAGAGAGGCTTTGTTGCTATTTATACCAATCTTCATTGCTTTAAGTACACCTTCCAAGTGAAAAAAAATTTATCAAGCTCAGGCACAAACCTAATACTTTGGATCGCTTTGATTGTTTATGATCTAATGTAAAACATGAACTGTGATTAAATTCAATTATGTACACATTGGCGGCTGGATTGATCAGAAGCGGACGATAAACGCAGGATACTACTTTGTGCTGTTTTCTTGGTATATGCGTTTATTACTCTGCGGAGTTGGATGTTTTCCATGATTGTGGGTCTCTCCATGGTTCTCCGGAACCTTGGCTTTTAAGATAAGAGCAACCTTGCATTGCTACAAGACCAATAATTACAAGTTCACGACCATGTTTCATCTCTATACTAAGTGCTTTCTGCACGAGTTGGCCATAGGGATTCTTTGATTAGATAAAGGAGATAGTTGAATTTATTTGACACATGGTGTTTTAATCGATTTCTTTTGTTCAGCCTCATTCAATATTCATTAGGTAAAGGTGGTTTCAATTAAGATCAAAATGAACATTTACGCTCCCAGAAAAGAAAATCGAAAAACAAAATTGTCCTCTGCGAAATGAAAGATCAATTTTGGGCAGAATTGATGTTTATCAGGGTTTCTATTCGAAGTGTTTTTTTTTCTGAGTGCCTTGTCTCGAATTATAAAGTTGCGCATATCAGTCTTCGTTCGATTTTGCGGTGCAGGATTATTTATGATTGTATCGTCTAATATCGACAACATTTTAAGGAAAGGAAATTGTTTTTGCTAGGAATAATAAGCATGCGGTTGTATTTACAGTTGTGTGATGTTTGTTTGTTTTTTATTTTTTAGGTAAACAAATTCACACCATGGTAGCTCATCTTGATGCTGTAACCAGCTTAGCAGTGGACCCCAATGGGTTGTACCTCTTATCAGGAAGTAAGGACAGCAGTGATATTTTCTGTGTCAGTATTCCCCAATCCCGCACCCAATCGACATCTGAGTGCCTCTTCAGATGAGCCCAGTTAACTGTACTGGCTCATTTTCTTAGATTTCCCTTTCTTGAGAAAGTAAAAAAAAAAATTAACGTTTATGTTCCAGGTACAGAGATCTTTGGTACCTTTTTTTGTGGATTTTAGGCTTGTTTCAATGAGGGGTTATTACACGAAATATCAGCTTTCAGGGTAGTGTCTGTGAGGTGAATCTGTCGTGAAGAGTTGATAATTATGTAATCCTTTGATGAGATGTTTGGCTTTAAGTTCTGACAGATTTGTGTTGTACTCGGATTTTCTTTGACACAAGGTGTTTTAAATGAATTCTTATCATCACAACTCGACATGATCGTTGTCAAAATCTCAGTCGCATCCCATGAGGTTCGAAACGTGATTGACGCTAGCAGAGACCTCATTATCAATTATGTTCATATAGCTACATATTGTGCATTTTACCGAAAACACGATAAAATTACCTCTTTTTTTCCGTTTAGGTCATGACTGTTCCATTCGTCTGTGGAACTTGGACAGTAAAACCTGTGTCCAAGAAATCACCTCGCATCGGAAGAAATTTGATGAAGCGATATACGACGTTGCTTTTCATCCCAATCGACCGTACATTGCTAGCGCGGGCGCGGATGGATTAGCTAAGGTGTTTGTTTGACGTCGAGGTTGTCAAGACAATGTCTGCGCCAGTATGAATGGTACGAAGCTTGCGTCATAATGGTTTTGTCCAACGGAACTGTGAAGCGCTGCGTGGTGTCACTAAAATGGTTTCCTTTGAGCAAAGCTGACTTTAAGACGATTGCGTGATGCAGTTACGCTAGTCGCATCACATGTATCTTTGCTGTAACGCCATGCAAAAGGCCTAGTAAGGTTGCAAATTTCTTGGAGTAAAATGTAAAAATTTTAAACGATTCTTCTTATATGACGAACTCAGTGCTCGGGAAGCTACATTTGAAGTGGGCATCTTGTACAAAAGTGGACTGGCGCTAGTCGACGAATTCCTCTTCATCCTGCCACAAACAGGACAGAGCTATTATGGTAACAGTGTATTAAGGACATGGTTTGATATATTTTTGTTCAGATCTACATTTTCAGAGTGCTTCTCTTTGGACACCTGTGGGAAAACACCGAGTTATTATCGGTTTTTCATTTGCGCTTTTTTTCGTACTCACTTCTTAAACTGATCTCAATCTCCAGTTTTTATTTTCGTGCATGTCATCTCATATTTTTGGATCAAGGGTGCAGGTGGACTCGGATACTATCGCTATTATGTCACATTTGAGTAAAAACATAATACCTACAGTTCAGCGGAAAGGAGCGAACTTGTATCGATTGATATTCCAATACCCACGAACATCAACCAATTGATGTACGAACACGCTCGAGCATTTCTCGACGGATTAACGAACACTCACGAGTTTATATCGATCGATGTATAACTGCTCGGGAGCACTATTGTCTGATTTAAATTGAACTCCCTCTATCTCCACCTTTGTTGAATTTATACTTTCGAAGAGCTTTGAGAAAAATTTTTTGCCGATGTTTTTGTCCGAGATGTATGCAGCTTGACTGATTGGTAACATGATTTTAACCTTTAACTTCAGCGGCTGGTAACCTTGTGGACTCTTTCAGTTCAATATTTTATTTAGTTTTTGTGCAGCTCAAAGCCATTGGACTCTGAACTTGAGAAAACTGCGACTGTTTGACTCCGATGTGTTACTTGCGATCATTTTCTTTGCTGGTTGCTTACGTGAGGTGATTTTTCTGTCACGCAAGCTGTCACGCAAGCTCGGGGGTTGGAGCCACTAACTTCAGCATTACGATTTTCTTCTTTAAGAACAAAATGGGTCCTAGGTATTTCTTTTCGTCTTAAATAGAAGAGATTGAAGTCTTCATTGCTCATCTTAATCTAAACTAGAAAAAATACAATCTATTTTTGTTATTGCGAAATTATTACAGGTTGTTAGACTAGACCATCTACTAAATTATAAACGAACGCTTAATTTCCTGTTTGCAAACATTGGAGAACACTTATTTTGGTAGTAATTCAGCGAGTTGTAAACTAAACGTCGTTTCCTTTCAAACGCGTTAATCTACTGTTTCTTAAGTTGCAGTTTGCAATCTGACTAAATCTTTTCCATCCCTTTTCTTTCTCTTTTCCTTCTGGTTTTTTCTTCCTAATCCCAGAGAACGTTTCTTTTTACTATCAGAAAATTAATGTTAACTTTGTTCAACGTACAGAACAGTTCAAGGATCGAGACAAGCTTCTTGTGGCTCAGGAAAGAAAACGAATGGGGTGGGGTGGGAGTTGGTCTTGTTAAACATTCTTTCCTTTACCACCCAGTAGACTTGCTATTTTTTTTTTTTTCGTTTGGTTGTCTGGTTTTTTTTTTCTTTTACAGTCACTCACGAGACATTAAGTATTTCGCTAACGGATACTTTTTTCTCGGGATGGGCTTGCTTTTTAGCCGACAGTTCGACCCAGAGAACTTTGTATTAGATCGAAACTTCGGGGCTAGCTTCCCATGTTAGTATAAGACTGTTATATCAGCTCAAGGATATTTTTTGGGCAAGAAATTGTACAGTAATTTTTGATTTCAATCATTGCTTGTATAGACTTAACTAATTAAGGTTAACGCGAGAGATGTTCTGATTCGTATGGGACAATAAAAAAAATTTGGCCTTCTTTGGAAGAATACTTCATTGTCATCAATTTACATAAAAAGTCCTTCTATACTATTTTTTTCTAAATGTACTGAAACGATCGCAAACAACTGTCGTCATGTTTTGCTAATTCCTGATAATTAATTAATAATGTACAACCGTGTCCAGGAAGGGATCGACACACTTGTACGAATTGTACAATACTTTTGTAAAGAAGACATTAGTATGCCAAATCGTTCAACTAAACATCCCGGAAAGATGTGCTGTAGAAACTACAACTGCTGTATTCTGCCAACTGAGCTAGCGTTGTGGCTCACTGAAATTCCTGGAAGGTACTGCTCGTCCTTAAACCTCCAGCCGCTTGCAAAGGTGAGTGAAAGGCTTAAGTTTCTCCTGTAAAGATGAAAGGACCACGTTTGATTTAGAATTGCATCTTCGTTCAGACATCGTTGAGATAACAGACGTTGCGCACGCCTCACATGCGTGAAAGTCTCGCTGATAAAGACGGTGATGCCGCACATCTTCCGAAGCCTTACCTTTAGGCAACATAGTTTTAAAGTTGTGTGGAAGTCATTAGGAAAATTGTTGTTGTTATCATAAAACCACAACAAACGGTTGCGCTTCTTGCTGTTTTCATTTCGATTTTGATCCGATTACTAACGCATCTTTTTTCTCACCGTTACATTGGTAATTGCCGTGGTTGCAAAGAGAGAGAAAAAAGGGATGGGGGGTGGAGGGGAGAGAAGGAGAGGGGAGGGGAGATACCGATGTCAATCCCTGCCTTTTGCTTTGCTCTCTGTTTCCTGAACCGAATTTTATCGGCCGCAGAACAAGCTGAACCTAGAAAATGAAATGATGCTATATATATTTTAAAGATATCACGAATAATTGAATGAACAGGGCCAAGGAAGGAATGATACAACATGATATACCTGGGAAAGTATATAACTCCATCCTCATGGAAATGTGGTATTGCCACTGAGTTGGCTTTACCCGCAAGAATCGCGCTGTGATAGGTGGATCCAGGAGATGATAAACAACGGTATCCCGGTCGAAATTGCCCTCGAAAACCTAAGTATCAACACATTGTCATAAAAGCATGATTTCAAAAGAAATAACCTTAACAGAAGAAATGCAAGGTACGTTTTCTGTAGCTAAACATGCGCATCTTTAATTTCTTTACAAATCATTTCGACACCGAAGTCACATTCACACGTGTGCATTATTTTAAACTTAGACAGTCCTCTACCGTGGGGTAAAAGCGCTTAGGAGATGTTCTAGGCGAGTGGTTTGCTTCGAGGAAACCTCGCTGGGCCTAGTAACCTATTTCGTCTCAATCACGTCTTCTCGTGCCAATCTCTCGCTTGATATCGAAGGCAAGATGGATTGCCTGAATTCTGAACCCATGTTTACTGAACCTTTGACCAATGGTTGTTTTCCGTAACTGCGCTAAAATTTGCATGTTAATATGAGAACTTACCGTGTCGGAGGAATCTCCTTGTCTCTTGTAAAACAAAAATGAGACTCCTTCGTCGCTGAACTGGATTTTGTATTTCTTCACCCACTGTGAAGGCGAGTAATGATTCCTTCCTTGTGTTGCAATGTACGTCACATTGGTGATTTTACCGAGATCGACCTGTAGCCATTGGTTTAAATCATTCGTCAAACTTGACCAGCCACCAGTCCCTGTCGAAAGTCCAAGCTCTTTTGTATGGAGTCGTGCGCGCGCAGGTTTGTGATAAACGTTGAACATCGAAGAAGCGATAATTTGTGAGTCAGCGATGGAGCCACTTTCCATGCCAAGAGCTTGCATGTTTTCTGAGACGTTTTAAAAGATAATGCAAAAACAAGCTGATTGTGCTGTTACTTTCCCTTGCTCTTTATTTCTCACAGGGAAGTAAAGAAACTGCGAGGTGAGGATGTTTTTTGCTATTCTCATTGGCAAGAATGTTGCGAAGCGTTGGAAAGCGAGGACTAAACAGCACGGAATTATCATAAGAAACTATGCCAACTTTAAATTATTATTTTCTACAAGTACTATTATCATTATATTGACTTTGCTTTTTTTACGGAACACCTGAGTTTGTGTTTATACCAATGGAGCTAGAACGATCATCATGCTAATTCGTACCTGATTGGTCGAAATGATGACGCGAATTTTCTTGATCATCACAGTGATGCGCAGTGATGCAAAACGTGCGCAACGCCCATTTCAGTTTTAGCTCGCAATTGAAAATTTGTCTATAAACTAGAAATGAATTCGGAAGGCCAACCTACCGAGACAGCCGTATAATTCTATCCTCATAGAGATGTGGTTGTGCCATTCTGTGGGTATCAACCGGATATATCGAGCCTTGACGGGTGAGATCACAGGATTCTTCACAACAGTATCTCTGTCACTGTTTCCAACAAACACCTGATGATTTGAAATAGGAAGGTGAAGAATTCTGTAAATCTCTGTTGCTCTTAACATAATTTTCTTTGTTAAAGGGGCCTGCAAGTTTGTTAAAAAGAAATAACTCAATCATAAAAATTACTGAGAAAAAACTTTTTTTTTTAACTTTGGAATGAGAAACTCGAAATATGGAACCATGACTAACATCACGAGCGCACGCAGGTCTCCTCAAGATTTCCCGCTTTGATCCCATGCATCTCGTCCCTTCCGGTGGTCCTTGCTTTGATCCCGTAAGAGAATCAAAGCGGTTTGGTTTCCTCGCCCTGTTCCATCCAGGAGAGATTACTTCACTTCTCTCGTGGTCAAATCACAGCAGACTGGATGAATCGTAATTGATTTTTAAGCAAATAATACTCAGCTGAGGCAAAGTTTCTCCGTTAATTAGTTTATTTAGCTACGCTTTTGTCATTTCTTTTTGTCATTTCGCTCAGATTTGATGAATTCACTTTGAGTCAGGGCTAACCTTATCAGAGCTCTCCCCGTCTTGCTTAAATACCCGAAATGTGCTTCCGTCGTTACCATACTGCAGTTTATACTTGGTTACCCACTGTTCATACATATTTCGTCCTTGTGTTGCCAGAAATGTAACGGTTGTCTCAATTCTTAGATCAACTTGAAACCACTGATGGACGTTATTCCCGCGCGCGGACCAACTGCCTTTCCACGACCCGGTTTTTTTGAAGTGAAGTCTTCCTTGGTTTGGTGCATGATTACCGTCGTATTGAGACGAAGCCGAAATCTGCGTAGGTGTAATTATGTAGTCTTCCATTCCTAAAGGTGCTGAACAGACTTGTAAGGAAAGAGGATGCAATCACTCAGAAAGAACAATCTTTGATATGAAAGTTTCAACAGGTAGAATGCCTATTTCTCTCACGACATCACTTGCAGTGGCGAAAAGACTACCAATAAGTTATATTAAGCAATTATCGGTTGAGGTTGAGCATGATATCATGAATAGTCAATGCCGAGGTCCGCGTTATCTGCCACTGAAGCTTAAGGCTATGGCAAATAAAACAGACACAAGGTTTGATAATTCTTGATATAATGCGAAAACTGAATTAAAAATGGGCTCATCATAATTTTTTTAAACAATCTGCAAAAAGAAAAACCTCTATGAGTTTGCAAAAGTTTGACAACACTTCACGGGTGATGGGCTCGGAAAACAGGCAGGCTTTAAACTCGACATGATAACCCAATGTCTGCTACAGATATTGGGTTAAGATGTCAACTTAACACCGGGTTTTGTATATTGGTTGCATGTGTGCTCTCGACCAATAACAGCTTTCTTAGTAACTCTAATGTGTAATAATAGCAGTGAAACCCAAACAAGTTTTTTTTTTTTTTTTGAACGAGATTAAGCAAGCCTCTATTGGCAGAGAATATTGCACCGGGTCATTTGCTTGTCAGGGCGTTGTTAAGAAACAAAGAAAAAACGTAAGTTATCGTCTGCACCATTATTGCTTCCTTTTGTCGCACTGCACGGCTGTTTACAAGGTTAGCGTTTGAACTGCTTGAGCTGGTTAGGTCCACTCTTGTTCGACCTTTTTCTTAAGGCCATGACCAGCTTTGTGTCTGATTTAAAATTATATATTATAAAAAAAGGACGAGGTTCTTAATCGCACGTAGTAGTATTTATGACAGTAAACGGTGTTTTGATAAACGGTGTTTTAGTAAGTTTCATTACCTCAAACAACAAAGGGGCGAATTATCTTTAACATATACAGTATCATATCTAACTGGGGATGAGGATTCCAGAGCAACTCCAAACTTAATTTTAGAAACACTCTTTTTTGGAATTTACATTTGTCCTGTATGTGTATGTAAACCATGGCTAATTTCGGCTGTTATTTCAGGAGATATTTAACAATCGTCAACGACTAAACCAAATTCAAGGTCTTCATTGAATGTAGAAATTTAAGAAAACCATGCTCGTTACGCGCGAAGTTGAGACCATGACTGTCCTACCATCTTATTCCTTGACTAAAAATTAGATCCAGTTTTAAATTTCGTTGTTCCCCTTACAATATGGCTTGTTGTAACCTTTTAAACTATTTAAGGTAAAATGTTTTATTTTATTTTAACTGAACTTTAAAAAAAATTTATAATTATTGCTATTATTATTTTTATTTATGCTCACCTTTGCCACAATAACGACCCCTATGGCCAGGGGTGCAACTACAACTGTATGTATTCTCTTCGTAATTCGGGATACATGTACCGTTGTTTTTGCATGGATGACTTGAGCACGGCGACTGCAATCGAAAGATAAGACACGGCAAATATCAGAATCTTTTCATTCATGGAGTATAACGACAGTGTGGTTAAAACTGACGTTCAACATCCACAGGTATATTCGCCGACGTTTTTTTGTAGTTTATATGTAGCATGGCGTTCAAAAGACGGGGATCGAGAAGAAACAGGTTTTGTAAATCGCGAAGGCGACAAAAAAATTGTGTTTTGAAGGAAAATGCGAATCAAGATTTACCTAAACACTTTAGATTCTCATGAGTTGAGGAAATTATGGCACACGAAAGCCTAAAGATGGAATAACATTCCAGAGACGCAATTTGTCCGTGACTGGTAAACACGTGAAAGAACATTGCTAAGGGCCGATAGATCTTAACGAACAATGCTGTGGAAAGTTCGAGTACCTTAATTATATATGAAATGTTGCTTATTAAAGAAAACAAAAATCAGAATTGAACTCCTTAACAGACTACACTCCAACAAAACTTTTCACTTTGTTAAAAAACATTTTTTTTCTTTTCACATTTCAATGTTTTATTTCACGCCTTCCTTTTCTGTGTATTGAATATTGATATTAATATTCTCTTCTGATGATGGTGACATGTCGTCGCCGAAGCGTCATGTTTTCATGACGTTGCTTTGTTATGCATAAATGTTTTAGAAAATTAGTCTCTATCAGAGAAGTAATTACAAGCTTAGAAGGAACAAATTTTAGAATTATGGAGAAGAATTAACGGGTTTCACATGACTTAGGAATTAATTTCGCCAGTTTGTTTAAGACACTTAAAATGCGAGTAGCTTCTTTCAACTCATTAACTCATTTTAATTTTCTCCGCACCCGTGTGACAACAAAAACTCCATGCGCAGGAGCAATCATACATTTTAACGGATACGTTGAAACGTGATCTGAGTATAAATCCAAGTATAACGCAAAAGTGATTTGTAAATCGCCCCAAAGGTTTTTTTTAGAGATTTATGTAGCTAGATAGGAAATCTAATCATCGTTTTGGCTCAAACTCAGCTGAAAGATTGACTGGCTCTGACGATGGTATCTAAGCAACAAAACTTAATTAATTATTTCGCTCAAAATCGTCCCTCCAGATATTCTTTAGGCTTCAGTTTCATTATTATTTTACATATTTAAAAATCTGTTGTCTTGTCAATGCAATATTAATTTTTTCATGAAAATGTTCAAATAAGAAACAGATACTTGTCCACCTTGGGTAAATACGCAGTGAGCTCAGGTAAAGAAATAATTTAAGTCGTATTTTTGTTTTGCCTTATGCAGCAAATAAGAAAACGGACCAAGAAAGACATTTTCAAAACTTATGAGAAATTGAATTTCATGATAAATACGTGAGTTACGCCCTTATAAGATAAATTATTTACCTCAATGCTGTAATGGTCAAACTGTTGCGAAGATGTCAAATTTGTTGGGCTTCTAAACTTGTCTCCGCTTAAAAGTTCGCATAGAAATTTTCCTTTCTGATTTGGAGACAGCCCAATGTTGAACGAGTAACACGTTTGTTGAGTAACACAGGCAAACGCGCATTCTTTAGCTTGAAGCACTTCATGGGGAAAGGCTAGCGGAGATACTTGTAGATGATGAAATTTGTGAACCTCAAAATTTGCGTAAGACACACCACCATCTGTTCGCTTTATAGCATGATTACCTTGGGTTTTATCCTGATTTTGCTGTGTTGAGCGAAGATTTTGCATCAAAATGACTAAAAATAGCAAATTAATGCGATGCATTTCAGCTGCATTTGTGAATTTCAAAATTTGCATGGACACAGCACCAACCGCTCGCTTTCAAACACGAGTACCGATGTAGGTGACAAATTTAAATTATTCACAAGTGTCAGCGGTTGAAAGGCAGATGTTTTAGAGGTATAATAAGACGTACAATAAATAAATTGTAAACAGAATAAGAGAGATGGTTTGAGCTCGGTTAAGGAAATTAAGAAAGATGTTTTTCGTCTTGTGGGACAAAGAAAAAATTCTGAGTCCCCATGAACCGCAGACCTTCGAATTCCAGGCTCCGATGCTCTATCACTGAGCCTCAGAGACTCAACGGTGAGCGAGGTCTATTAAGAAGTTCGTATGACAAATCTGCATATTGCTAGGATCAGCAAGATCAATAGCGTCATGTTTGTAAATGGAATAAGAGAGATGAGAAGTTTTGTGCTCGGCAAAGGAAATAGAGAAAATCCTCCCACGGAATCCGAAAAACATCCTTCTCTAATTAATAAACTGTGCCAATAATTAAGAGGCTGTAATTAAAACTTTTGTGGGGAAATAATTTCACTGCCAAAATAAATGTTCATTAGTTTTTATGCTGTATATTTATCTCCTTTTGAGAGCTTTATATGAACGAAGCTTCCAAGCATTGTTTCAAAGGCCAATCTTTTTTCTTTTCTATTTTTTCACAGCATGCCATGACAATGGGTAAGCAAACCCATCTAGTTTAATCAATCAACGTCTTCTGGTGTTTCAATACTTGCGTTTTCAAGTTATATCAAAGATGAAAAAGACATGTAAGCTGATATGTTGGTTGGTTGCTTGACTTAATTTTCCTTACAAAACTTCATGGACATTCTATTATCCAAGAAATCTTGTGCTGCTAAGCCATATCATCTCGAATCTTAAAGATCTGAAAATCCCCCGTGAAGCAATTTTCAATTGAGCGCCAAGAGAATGTGATACAATTGGTTTCGTGTTTCTACGTCCTGTGACTGGTTTATAAAACAACCAATCAGATGACAAGTTTAAACCAATCGCCATTTGGTTACTCAAGGTATCTCGCATTTTTTTCCATTTGCCTAAAATTCGCAAACCCATTGGCCTTTAGAGACAATTTTTCTTTTTTCGAACGAACTTTGTAATAATCTTGGTTTTTGACACTCAGTCAAATAGGACTCTCTCTTGAATTTGACGCTTTCACCCGTAAACTTGTTTCAGAGAGGCATATTAACTGCTGGATGTCACCAGCTGATGACATATTGAAATGCTCTTCACTGCGCATGTCTCCCCCACCCCCACCTCCTTTCCTTTCCCCGCCCCACTCCCTAGAAAAAGGAAATTGGATAATAATTTTAACCTCATTATTTTAATATTTCAATACAAACAAAAACAGGAGAAAAAAACGCATGCTTCTGTCACTCGACTGTACTGGTTAAAAGTTTTTATGAGTATTTTCCATTCCTTAATAAATCAGGAACACATCTCTCCCTTTCCTTGGTTGTACTGGTCTGAAGTTGTTGCACATCTTTCCATCACCGTAACCAGTGGAAGACTGGAGCCGATTGAACATTATAAGCTGAAATGATTGAAAATGTGAATAAGTGTGAGGTAGTTCTGAAACCTTAAATGTTCAAGTCGGGAGGCATGCAAAGCTCCTCACTTAGACCCCGTCCGCATGGTAATTAATATCCCTATAAGCTGTTGAGTTAATTCAATGTCTTTTTTGATGAAACAATCATCAACCAAGGCTGCCCAAGCTGGTTTAAATTACTAAATTGGCGCGCTCTGATTGGCTACACAAACCCCGAATATCCTTTGCTATTTACCATCAAGCGACTCGTATGGGATTTACGACGGTAAATATTGTAATCGTTACAGGAATAAATTTCTTAAAGATTATATTTTTGTGCTATATTATCTCATTGTTCTTGTATAAAATAAAACTACTATTCCCCTCAGCGTCCGAGGCTAACGGTGAATATTTATCTCACCTTCTCGTGGCTCGGTAAATATCCACGTACCACCAGCCACCTCATGCATTTTGGTTAATAGCTGTTAATCCCCAAAGCGAAATTTAAACTAATTTCATTAATCTTTTTTAAATCAAATCTTTTAAAATTTTTTTTAGCATTGCGTGTGCACACTAAAGCAATTAGAGTGATATTACCCCTACTGACCTGGGATGGACTAAATGGTGCAGTTTCTGACAACACAATCCATCGTACAGATTCGAAGCAGGGAGGGGTGGTAAGGGATCCTTGGTAAGTGTAGTAAGGCGAACCATTGTTAAATGCAGGTACTAGATCTTTCAAAAAAATTTTGTCTGTTTCTACCACTGGGACACTTCTCCCTGTAATTACAATGTAATTACCAGAAAAATGAACTGTAAGTAAATTTTTTGATGATGGGCGTTGTTTTGCCTATCACTCGAGAATTTTACATCCATTTAGAAAAAACTCGAGTGTTTATGAAGAATTTACGATTTTTTTAAATAATTGTGACAAACAAAGTAGGCGTGATATCTTAAGGAATTTGTAAGAGTTTAAGAGTGTTTTACTTGTCTTCAATGAAAATTTTAATTTCCGTGAGTGCGTGCCTTGTGTAGTTTTTTAATCAATCTGTGGCAATATCATTGTATAGCGAATTCCAAGAGATACCTTCTGCGACGATCATTTCAAACTTGCTTTGCAATCTGCTTAAAATTCCATTCGGCTCCGAACCCAGCTAAAATCAAAGAAACAAACATATACATGTGATAAGTGGAGGCGCGGTGGCCTCATGGTTAGTGCGCTCGACTGCGGATCAAGTGGTCCGGATTCGAGCCCTGGCCGTGGTCATTGTGTTGTGTTCTTAGGCAAGACACTTTACTTTGTACAAATGGGTACCATGCTGGGGGTAAGCCCTGCGATGGACTAGCATCCCATCCAGGGTGAGTTGCAAAAGTCCTAGCCGCTTCACGCTGATGAAACCGGATTGAAGCGCCGGCCCCATGGGCCATTTGGGCCTGTATAAAGGCTTTACTTTTTACTTTTACATGTGATAAGAAAAGTCTTTTAGAATTGACAGGTGAATGTGTCACCAAAAAATATAACAAATTATTTCTAACACATAAGCATGGAGACTGCTATCTCTTGGGGCAGCAAATATTGTACCTCAAAAAAAGCACCAACCACGGTGAGTCCATCAGCCTTATCAGCGGCCCTTGCAAAATCTGTGTAACTTGTGTTATAAAACACGAAGTGTGCCTGGAAATAATCATTTAAAAATCATATACGCTATGATATGTGGACGGATTTACAACAATGTCTGTTTTAGTGAAGCAGAAAAATTACTGATCGATCTTTGTGATTTACAATAGTTTTTGAACTAGTCTGGTCGGCTGACTTTCGCAAAAAACTTCTCCCTTTTGAAAATTATGGCTGTATTTTGAGGAAAATTTTGTGAAATATCAGTATTTTGGGAAAAGAGTTGGGCCAGGAAAAGTGTGACCTAAGTAGAGCCGTCCTTAATAAGAGGTTCCTAGGTTCTCGAGGATGTAAATGTAAGTACTCCTCAGAAATCTTAGCTCGACACAAAAAAGAAACAATGCATAATTATAACAATTAAAAACATTGATGAGGGACAATGACATAAAAAAGTTAAAAACTCGATTTTAATTTCGAAACAACAAACAAGGAATACCTCAACAGGATATGAACTTCCAGATACTGTGTGCTCTGAGCCTTGGAATGATGAACATCCAAAGTGGAAGTGAAATTGCTCCAGTTGGAACACAGTATCCCCCACAGGACCCCCACTGAGGGTGGCAGATCCGAGAGATTTTTCAATTGCAAGGGTAGGGGAATGGCCATTATTAGTAAATGATCCAATTACAAGACCACCCTCGTTATCAAAATCGATTGCTAGATTTTCTTCCCATATGTTGCTTTTCAATGAATAACAGTCAAGGTCGATGGGGGACTGGGCCGTACCTGCGCACTGGGGAGCGATCTTATACCAATCAGTGGGGCCAAGTGCTGGGAAAGAAAGAAAGAAAAAAACAGCTTTGTTATAGAACCAACTGTTGGGTATTCATTGGTCACGTGATTCCTCTCATTGTTCTAATTCAACTGTCTTCTATTCAATAATCAATAATAGTTTGAACTCATGAATTTTATGCATATTTCCCCAAAACATACTTACTGAGATTTTTGGACTTCCCATAGCCCCACTGAGGTCCTGAAAGTACAAAAAGACGAGAGCTTAGCGTAACTGAACACAAACAGAAGTCAGTGATAAAGTGACATCTACTTTAACAAAAACGAAAAACGGAAATATTTCATAATTACCTCCGCGGGGGCCTGCTAATACTGCATCAATTACCAACAGAGAGACCAGCAAGAAGAACATCGTGCAATTCTGAAACGAACCACTTTGAAAATGATTCTTATTCTAGCAGACAAGTAAATGTTATCAAACCAAGCACTAAATTACTTTTCATTCTCTTCTCGATACTGACATGGTGATGAAATACGTAAGCTAAAACTAAACAAAACAAACATTAGATTCACGACAAAACGATAGAAGACACTCGCTTAGCAGTGACGCTCTTTAACCCTTTAAGTCCCACCAGTGACGAAGACAGAATTTCTCGTTACACTATCAGTACAATATCAATCAAGGAAAGAGATACCCCAAACATTTCGACGAAGATAATAGGAGCTCGGAACACGAGTTTGAGGTTATCTTTCCTTATTTGGCCCAACACTTTCCAAGTGAACTGACAGTAATTCTTCCCCAGTCTCTTCTGTTTAAGGTTTGATTGTTGTGATCTTTCCTTATTTGGCCCAATACTTTCCAAGTGAACTGACAGTAATTCTTCCCCAGTCTCTTCTGTTTAAGGTTTGATTATTGTGATCGAATGTCATATAACATTACGTTTTGCAGTTTTTCTCCAGTGCATGTCATCGGGGCCAAACAAGTTAGCTAAGATAAGAAAAACAAAGACAAGTTATGTTTGTTATCAGGGGTTGAACTCACCTCTCGAATAATAAAACCGTTGAAGACTTTTCTCAGGTTTCCCAGTTACTTTGGTAAATTAAAGGTCCCCGACCGAATGAACAGTTCAACACCTATGAAAAATGAATTCATGGTACCAGATTGTAAACTGCTTTTTATTGGTGTCAATAGACCCTTTCATATTCCTGGCATTCGGCAAAGTACATAAAACCTGCTCGCTATGTTAGAAGCAGCCTATTACCTGCCAAACGGCGTTTTAAATGTGATAATTTGACCTGCTGATTGTCAAACGAGTATGAAATTGAAATAAAGTCTAAACAGGTTTGACGCGAGTAGGACTTATTCTTTCTTGGTAAATCCTCTATATTCGGTTATGCTTTACATGATGGCGCAGTTTGTCATTTTCTTATAGAACAGAGTTAAAACTTACATTGACAAGAAGTCACCGGTATTGAAATGAACCAAATTTTTATTGATCCTTTTTGTTATACAAGTAGTATCAAAACGCTATCGACAAACCAATTCATCGCCGATAAACATCGACAGCAACAAAAGGAATCGTAATTTTAGAAGCATGGATGCTCACGATCCAGGAACACAACAGCGCAGGCGGTTGATAGCGGACCGCTGAGGGATCAATACTCCAAAGTAGTAAGGATCGAATTGCACAACCCTTAGCTGTTGAAAAATCAACCAATCATAGCGGATATCTTTCTTCATAAACTAACTCACGATCAGTTGACCTTACCACCACTTACAAATTAAGGGTGGTATGGCTTGCCAACCTCAGACTACAATGCAACGGGTCTCAGTTGTATGTATTTCATGGAGTCTTTAGTTCCTTTATCGAAGCTCAAATGAATACATTTTAACCAAAAACGTCACATAACAAAGCATTTTGTTAATAATTAAGAAATACAATGGCAGAGAGAGAATTGGGCTGGGTCTCATCGATCATTGTTAAGAAGGGTTCTTGTCTTAATCATAGGAAAACTTTCTGATTAAATTTTTTTTTTGAGGTTCAGCTTCTGATTTAAAAGAAAAAAATCCAAAGCGAACCAGAAATAACCAATTTAGAGCCACGAGTTTCGCTCAAATGTACAACTCATGCTACGCACGCTTGATCATCTCCAAAAAAACATAAGAGATAATATTAAAACAAATGGAAATGAGTTTCCGTCATGATGATGCACGCATATAAAAATCAGTTGCTTGAGTCATGATAGGCTTGTAATCTGTCATTAAAAAAATGATTTTTTAAAGAGAATTTTGAAATATAATACTTCTGTTAAGAGGATATAATAACGAAATAATTAAGTGAGTGTTAAAATTACATTTATCGCCGAATTACGATGTCGTCACTACCGGCTCAAAGTAGTCAATAGGTTAATTACGGGAAGCAGGATATAGTGACAGTAGGCATTGATAATATTTTCGTCTCCAGGTAAAAACAAAACCATACAAACAGACTTGGATATTAATATCAAGTGGCATGAAACTATATCATCGTTTCCTCTCACGTGTTTCACCGAGATGAAGCATAAAAGGGGACGAAAAAACCGCTGATCTCTGCATCGAAAGGCTCAGTCTTAAGCCCCGGCCCTAGGGAATAAAATTGACGAAATGCTGCTAGGGTAGTGGAATGATAGGGGAGGAGGGGGGGGGGGGGGACTTACGATGGACTAAAGGAATACAAGGGGCCCAGGAGAAGAATTGAGTGCCCTAGTCGCTCCCAGTTCATACTTAGATAGGGCAATGAAGGCCTTACAGTCTGTTTGAAAAACGAGCTCTAAGGCATTCACGCGGTGTTTCTTGATGGTATGAGCCTTCAGCATAAGATAACGGCTATTTATTTCTCTCGATAAGAACTCAACAATGCCTCTTTCAATGCGTTTTTGGGACATCAATTGTACATTTTTCATCCTTGTCGATATGCAAGGGCAGAACTCCACTGATCATTTGTATTTGGCGAAAGTAATCATCCGGCTGACAGTCGATATCTGTTTTTTTTTAATTCGGCGTTCACGACTGGCTTCCTTTAAACTTTCCACCAGATATCCTTTGGACTAAAGGTTCCCACTCGTCACATAGTTTATTACGAGCATGGGGAATATACTGGCAGAGATCTCTCTAAACTCTTATAGCGGGAAAATAGAACGCATTTTCGATAAGAAAATCCCGATGAATTGTAATCTTAAGAGAATAGATACTTCCTTGTTCAAAGATTGGATAACATACGGCTTTGGTCTCCTGCATTCCAACTATTTTTTATGAACTACTAATTTTCATCCTTTGATCCGTTTTTGGTAAAGAGATTAACTCTGTTTGCCCCTGTGTTCTAAAGTTTTGTTAATATTACGGAGCGGTGTTTGCCGAGGCATGCATTCTTTAGGATGATTTTCGTGACCAAATCATACTTTGGTCTGTTAGCATTGAAAGCATCAGCGCATACTGATTGAGAGCTTCACGTGCCTCTTTCAGTTTAAGTCTTAAGATGAAGGCTTAAGTTGAGAGTGGTTCTCTATTGTTGACGATAATGTCACGATACATCCATTTGCTTTCTTGGATACTTCGTTGAGGATCGTCTCCAGATTTAGACAAGTATCGTGAGAAGCTGCTAAAATTAGAGAAAAGATTTAAAATTGCTTGCCTTTTTTAAGAGCAACGGTTAGTTAACACCCACATGTAGCAGATTGATACTGGGTGGTTTTGTTTGTTTATACGGTGGGTTCATCCAGTCCCACTTGAGACCCAGTCAAACCAATCTTTCAAAGATGAATCTTTCCATCCAAATGTGTAGAAAACATCGAACTCGTCGTTGAAGACAAATTAAAATGCGTGTGTTAAATTGATATTTCCCCGGTTCATAGAACTTAAATTAATGATAGAAAATAAATTTTCAAAAACAGATGATATTGAATGTATTGTAATGCTTGGTAACGTGTTGATTTGGTTATTTTTATTTCTGTGTTGCTTTTGGAGTCATCATCAACTATATTGAAAATTTTACCGTTGTTGATTTTACGGAAATAGACGTTAATTACAATGGAATGTTCGACTGTCTTTTTTAGAACTGTGAGTTATTTTTGTTTTTCATGCAAAAAGTATTTTTCCGTTGAGATTTTTTACTTACATGGAAGGTCAAAACAGAGTCGAAACATTTGACTTGCAATGCAGCTGAAAAGAAGAAATTAAGTTTCCAGATGTAAAGCTACTTTAAAACCAACTTTAGTGCCCCAATGCAAGCCAGTTGATAGGAGACAAAATCTCTTAAATGCGCTATCTGCTTATTGCAGCTTTTCCTTCCACAATGTCAAATATCTAAACACGAAATTAGCCTAATCTCATTTCTTCGAAAGAAGGGAAACCAAGGATTTGTGAATGAGGTGATCATGAATAAAGTGGACTGATTAAACTTCAAACCCATTTGCACGTACAAGTTTGCCTTCACGCTTACAGCTTTGTGTTTCATAATTAAGCGCTTTTCACCTAATAAGTCATAAAAGAAAATCTGTTTATGCCAAAATGACTCTTCCTTGTTCATTCAGCGTCTCGTTTTAAAAGGCTTTTATCTTGCACACCGAATTAAATGAAGCTAATTGCTTTTTGATTGTTGGCTTCAAATCGTGAGTTTATTTGACGTAAGTATTTGGATGAGAACGACTCCTTCAATTTGTATGTAATTATTGTAAACAAAGTATTAGGTCTGCACTTTCGTCTCTTTTCGATGTTAGTCGAGATAAGTTCTTCTGCTCGTCTTATTTTGAGAACTTATTTCTATATTAAGTTTACTATAATTTTTCTTTCATCGTCGTCTGGGAAATACGAACCGAGTAATTTCATTTGCATAATGAAGAACAGAGGAAAATACTTCCTTCTCAAGCTGTTCTCATATGTTTCCCCGATGTTTTTCCAGTATTGAACCTCAGATAATGTTCTGCTCGCATATCAACGTCACTTCAATGAGGAATGAATATCGAATGATGTCAGAACTTCTGAGCACGACAGAAGAAAATGTTCTTTAGTCGCACAAATTTCTTTCACACTGTTGCGTCCATGCATTTTCCTCAGATATAAGCTGTACACTTACAAGACGACTCGAATTAACAATAAGATTTTAATGAAGTTAAAAAAAAACAAAGCAAAATTATATGAAGGAAAGTTTCAATAATATTGTCGAGACAGGTTCAAAAATAAAGCGTTAATTCCTTTTAACAGGAATTAACATCGAATTTGTGCCCCAAAATTTTGTTTCAACTTAGTTCAGTTAAGTTTTTCTTTTAGTCTTGATAGACGAACTTATTAAATATGGACAATTTAGACTATAGACTAAGCTCTCCATGTTCAATAGTCATAAATCGTGTTTGTATTTGCTTTTATCATGAATTGTTGTTCTCATAAACTTCTTGAAAAGTTGCCAAAAAGACGAGATACCAGTGCAGTTCACGTGGGAAGCTTTACAGTTACCATGTGCGCATGCTCACACACGCTTTGATCACGTGGAAAGTTCGCACGGCTACTTTTGCTACAAGGTTCTCATCCAATTAAAAACCTCCCTCCTGATAAAGCACATTATTTTGATATCCTACCAATAACCGAAAGAGTTTCGCTGCATGAATTTGCTTAAGCATCTAATTGAAGGCAAAACCTGATCGAAATGTACTAATTTTTCTGTTTCTTTCTTGTAAGGCGAATTTTTATGGTTGAAATGCACCAAACAAGGTTCAGACTCCGAGGATTAATATCGTTTTTCATAATAAAATGTGTTCAGTCGTGTTTGTAGAACCGCAATTAGAGACAGTGAGGGGACTTTTTTTTTCTTCAAGCGCAAGCAATTAAAACAATATCAATTGACAAAAATTAACGAGTTAATTTTTCCGATTGATAGTGACTCTTCTGTATCCCTTAAATTCGGCTGCTTTTTTTTTTCCAAATCAGAAATCACACTCATAGAAACTAGCCAAGGAAAACATATCCAAGATTGTACGGAGAAACCTCTTTTAAGAGAAACTCAGGTAGGTATCATTCTATTTAATTTTCATGGGACTGGTTTTAAAAATGATTTACCATTATCAGTTACTTTAATTTTATTTAATAGACTTTTCTATTTTCATTGAGATGTTTTTATCTTTGGATCTTATTTTGAGCAATTATGAGTTCTCTGACTTTTATTTCATAGCGAATGGAGCATCAATATTCATTAAGAATGTTTCGAAATGTTTCGAAAACAAGAAACACAAATAACAAAAACGCTAAAATTTAACTAGAGGCTTACTGTGGAATGCCGAATACCGTCCACCAGTTTCTATATTCAACCATGCAAACTTAGTCATTGTGCGTGAAAAATGAATTGCACCCCGATTAAGTTAAATGTTTTATAAGTGATGGCTTTCTCCATGCGGTTTGACCGGTCTAATTTGCATGGCGGACTCTCATAATCGCCCATACTCACTAATTGGTAATATAACTGAGTTCGAATAGATCTTTAGCACTAACTGTTCAGTCTCAATGTCTGTTGTAAACAGCTTAGCAATCTGATCTTCAAGTTCACTATACGCCCGTAACATTGACTCGTGTGTCATTAAGTGAGCAACCGTTTTTTTTTCTGTTCAGGTTTATCGTAAAACATGATGAGTTGGTATATTGGTAGGGGACGCCATCGGTTATATCGCAGAAGCGGCGAAAAATTTTATTTGCGTTTCTTTGACAGGCAAGCGGGAGAGACTCACAAGACGTAATGTGCTAAAAAAAATCCTTCGTGCTTACCATGCTCTTGTCTTTGCTCGATGAACTTAGAAAACGGCAAAAAAAAATTTTTTTCTGAGAGCTACCAACGCCATTTCATTTGTTATAGCTAGAATTTGCAGACATAAAAGTATCCAAACGTAATTTTCTCAAATCTCACCCAAACAAATAAACTGTTCTACCGATTAATGAGATCAGAGTCAAAAATTAAAACTCCACGAATAAAAAATAACATTGGTAAAAAACCGACACTTTCAGGAACAAAATCAAACTTCGAGTGTTATCACATTCCTTCAAAATCTGTGATGCTAAATAGCCTACAGGCCAAATAAAAATGAATAAAGGGGGTAAGTTTCTAAATAAACTGTGATGCTGCGTCAGTGGGAGAGTATAACAGGGTAATTTAGTATTATGAACTGAGTCGATAGCGTAAACTGGCTACCTTAAAGAGTCAAAGCTGAAGTTTCGAGCGTTAGCCCTTGGTTGGAGCGAATGGAAGGCCAAATACAGATAACTTATCAATCTTTTTTTCTTTTTTTTTTTTTTTCCACGCGTTCGCTTACCTCTGTTTTCACAATGATCAAGATCCTAGAGGTTCAATTTAATTTTGAGTAAGTTGTATTTAGCGATTAACTCTACTCAAGAAAAACGTGTATTCCTTAAGTTCAAATTCCAAATATTTTGATAGGGTTGAACGGCCATAGATACACGCAAGAATATAAGAACTTCAATTCACTTCCTTTCAAAGGAAATAAAGTTAAGAAGTAAACATATTCAACCTTGGCATTTTAACTAAGTAACTGCAAAACAACTAAGTACTTTATTTCAAGATTGATAACATTTCAGTTTTCATGGCAACAAAATATTTATTAAATCAAAATAGTGCACTTTGTGTCCATATTAAAAATAGGGTCAACGGAAAGGATAAAAATAATTTCTCTATTCCACAAGCTTTCATAAAAAATTCCTGCCGAGACTTTGTCATGAAATCGTGAAAGGAACGTAGTCTTAAGTTTTAAGCCATGAAAAAAGAAAAAAATTGAAAACTGTTGCCATCGAATTAAAGTTTTTCAATTGCAACGCTTCCTAACATCAACAGCTTTGAATCTTGTCAGTCTTTTTCAGTCTCTCTCTTCATGATTTTATTTTAGTTGCAAAAATGCGCGGTTAGTTCAACCAAGGAAACAGCGGCGAATTTCACAATTTCCGAGTCATTTTATGCCGGGTGTGTGATATTGTGTCATCAATTATTCAGTTTTTCTGTGTCAAGTATTGTAAACCTTGGCAAATTAAGGTTAACTTGGTTTTGCGAAATCTTCCGAGCCTTTTCGCCGCAATTCGTTCCGTGCAGATACAATCAAGACCTTGGAACGAAGGCTTTTCAGAGAGCGACAGCCTCTGTCACCCATTGACTTAGCCTCTCGCTGTTTATGTTGAAACTGTTTTTAAGCATGTTCCGTTTACTTAACACTCCATTTTTAACGTAGAAATGGTTTATCTGTTGTTTTTATTGTTTCTGAGGTCACTAAACACAGATGTTGACCGTCTACAGCATTGAAGTCTTCCTCTTCGATCCTAATCTTTCTACTTTATCAGACGGAGCCTAAACTCAGTTCGTTTGGCTTTGATAGAATTGATTGAAAAGTCGCAATTAATTGTCTTGCAAAGAGAAGAAAAGTGACGACATCATGTATTTGGTTTGGTTCATTTGTATACCGGGCCTGAACTCGAAGTTGGTTTCCGGTATTGGCGACTGACTTTGACAAAAAATTCAGTGCCGATCAAAAGAACATTTTGATCACATTTTTGATTAGATATGCGGAGTTTGGACTTGTGTTACTTTGGCAGAACCGTTTTTTGCGAGCCTCACTACCTTTCGCCAGGAGCGCTCTTCTATAATACAATTCAGGGGCCTACGCTATCATGTAATGAAATAATCCGATAAATTCTTTCTTTCTAAACTTTGAAGCTTTTGGAAACTTTTCAGTGAGGGTAATGGCAATATCATAGATTCAATATAGTTAATGTCTACTTTCTCCTGTGATCTTTAACCAACTTTCTTAAAAGAAGCCAAAAAAAGGACGTGCCATTAAAGATTTAAAAAGATCAAAGAGCGAATGCCGAACGATCCCATTTTATCCTTTAAGCGAGCCACGATCAAACTTCAAAATTTTTATCTCCAATGGTCTAGCCAATCGTCTAAAAAGTCTATTTTTTTTTAGTTCAACTTGAAGTCCCACTTAAAGCCACTAAAGATAATATTTTCATGTGAATTAGCCTAATTGCCGACTTTTTGGAAATTATGATAGCGACGAAAAAATGGGATATTTTTAACTCGAAAAACTGTTACAGAATCAAAAAGTAAAATTGGAAATCTTCCGTTCTTTTTATGGCGTCATTTTTCACTTCAGCTGTCGTGGAATCACATTTAGCAATTTTATAACAATATCATTGTCGGTAATAAAACATATCGAAAAGATTGCCATCTGTAATTTACTATATTGATCTGATGGCGGTGATTGGAGGCTTACGTGAGCTGAAAATATTATTTTGATCTCTGCCTTAAATGAATCTGAGAACTGGCTAATATAATTAGGAAATGGACAGTTTCAGGTCATTTTCCGTTTCTGAGAAAAGAAAAAGAAAAAGAAATGCCCAGGTGAACGAAACAGTATGGTGAAAATCATATGCTGCATACTTTTCAAAAGCCATTTTATTTAGGAGCAACCTTGCTCCAAATTGATTCGTTTATTTTGCCAAGTCATGTTGTTCTGCAGGAAGCAAACTGCAACCGCATAATCCTTCGGCTAGTTCTGATGCTTTAGGTCACAGAACTCAACAAATTTTATCAAAACCGGAAAACGAGCTTGTTTCTCAACTTCAAGAACAGAAATAAAGCGATTAGAGTATTGGTAGCTCTTCGATCTTCACACAAGAGTGTAAACAAGGGACAAAAATGTTACCTTTTGAATTTCAGCTTTGAAATTTACGATATACAGAGGCCGTTGTTTTGGCAGAAACTCATCACAAACTTAAGCTGATATGCTTAAAGAAGGGTGTCTTCTTGCTTCTTGCTGATCTATACACGGAGAAATAAGTTGTTGTCTTTTGATAAGACACTACTGAGACACCGAATTGTCTTCTTACGTAAGGACGGAACACTGAAAAAACTGAAGTGTCCGAAGTTCATTTTGTGCCGGTGGCACAAGTTAATATCGCCTTATTCTCAAGTTGTTGATACCTCTCATAACACCAAGATCAACATTGTCAATATATTCTATTCACGATTACGTTATCCATAAACAAAAAATATAACAGTGGTTGAAAATAGTATTTACTTTAGTCCAAAAGAGACATTCAATAACATTTAGTTACATTTCGTAATTCCAAAATTTATCAACACACCTGAATACCAGAAAGTGGTCAAAACGTGTTTCAACCATCAAAACAAAACAAAAAAAAATGAAAATATAGTAGAGATAACATTAAATGGATAGCAAATATTTTATCAAGTGCTTCATTAAGCTGAAATATAGAAATATACCGAAAGTTTTAGTGCTGAAAAATACATCCTCTAAGCATGAAAACATTTCCACTTTAATGCACGCCGTTTGTAAGGTGCTGGCATATTAATTTTTTTCATGGTTTAGGACTACAATAATTTTCTATTCAGTAATTTCAGAAAAATATGTACAACAAATCTAAAAACTTACAGCACGTGCTTTACTGGGAACATTCCTCTGAGACGCACGTGCCAAAATTGAACAATATGCATGTCTTCAACACGTGCAACGCACATAAATGACGTGAGACGACTATAAATGTAGTAATATACAGAAATGGCTAATATAAAGAGGATCCAAATGTTTGCGCCTTGGTCCAATCAGAGAACTCCTTTTTTTTTAGGTATATTACAGTGATATTCTGTTCCTCGAATATGTTATTCTTGAAAAAATCTGCGGTAAAGTTTATAGATCGAAACTATGTTCAGACTCTTCTCTGATTTATCTCTTTATAAAACTCTTACCACTGATTTTGACTTCCGCTGAGTAGACGAAAGTGAGATTTCTATTTCTTCTGGAAATTTCTGTGTTTATTGGTAAATATGGCAAATATTTATTTTTGGCTGTTGATACCGCTAGAGGAGACAGTTAGGACCCTTATACTACCAAGTGGGGTCATCTAAACAATATCAATTTGACAGGAATTGATGACGTTATTGATATTTTCCAAGTGATATTGAGCAACTCTTAGGCTTTAAATTTCTTTGCACCAAAAACTCGACACCACTTTCATAGAAACTAGCCAAGGAAAACAGATCCGAAATTGGAGAGAAGTCCTTTGAATCCTTTGAAAGAATTTCAAGTAAGTGAAGAAAATTTTACCAATAGCCTCCCGAGACAAATCAATTTTATTTCTTTAGCCATTTCTCGTTAAAAATGGGTTAAAATCAAGCACACTTTTTCGCCCGCCCAATGTTAAAAATTATCTTCATCTAGCCGATCCAAAATTTTGAGTTCAATTTTAATTTTGTCAATATTGTTGAACCAAAATTCTTGTTTTCTTCCACCTCGATACAGGCTAAGCAAAGGATACTTAAATTTGTGAGAACAAATGCGGCTGAAATCTTGTATTCATTTTCTTTTTATAAGTCAGTGTCTTTTTCCATAGGGCAGCCCTCCTAGTCGTAACTTGGTAGCGTTTTTCGGCAACTGAAATTGTTCCCTTTCGTTAAAGGTGCAATCGGTGCAGCTTTTAATTTTCTGTTTAACTCAAATCGAGTCTGAATTTGCACTTTTTAAAAATTTTTCTGGCATCTGTTTTTTCCTCATTTGTTATGGAACAGTCGTATGTATTTCCTAAACTAATTAAAGCAAGTATTCAGTTAAGTCTGAGACGTATAGATCAGTTCCGCCGCAAATCTGTAACGTGAATACGTGAAAAGTATTTAAACTAAGTCAAACGTGCACATTGAACAAATTCAAGGATCAATTTTTTATTGATTATAAATCATCAATGGACTTAGATAAATAGATAAACGCGCTTGAAAAGGCGACATTCCGTAGCCAAACTATGCACGCATTAGCTGAGGTAGAATTGGACATCTTTGAGGTTTTTACCTTTTCTGGAAAATATTGATTACGGTTAAATTTTAATGGATTGTTTTACCTGATTGGAAATTGAAACTAATCAATAGCTATATTCATATAGCAAAGGTGGCTCTTCGTCCTTTTCTACCGGAAAAACTTTTTTACTTATAACTGGTTTTTAGGACAAAAATGTTACTCAACGTGCTCAATGAAAATTTTGTGTAACAGGATGTTATGCAATAGCACGCAAATCACACACATTTCATTTGATGGCCTAATTTTTTTAGGAGCTGTATCACGTGCCAACTCTCGTGCCAACTCGTGTGCTGAATGGTCACATTCCACCCACATATCAGATCAAATATTACCTCGCGTGCTAACTCACGTGCATAGGTTTGAAACCATACCCAGCACTTACATTTACGACATGAAGCCCACCATTCGCATCACGTGCTGCTCCTGACACGATTTTTAATTTTAAGTTGGAATATTTTAATTTTTTCAATTTTTAGGCACCAACAATCTATATCATTTCGAGAAATCAAAGCTCGAATGAGTGGTCTAATCAACAAACAGATGCTGAACTGAATTAGTTTCTCCCGCTTAAACTCAGTTTGTTTCAATTCGTAGTAATTCTTCGATAGTATTTTGCTGACGCTTGAAAATTCATACTCGACTGTCTTTTCATAAAGGGGTTAAAATTTTGCAAAGTGGAATCGGCTTACGATACAAAACATTTTTTATCTACCTATAGCAATACGTAGGAAACTCTTGCTTCATAACCTAGCCTTTAAAACTAGATTTTCTCACATCAAAACTAATAGCTGAGTTTATTAACAATACTGTAATGTCAATGGTTAAATCTTAAGCAATTTTTCCGCCATTTATGACTGATGTGATATTTATAATTTCAATTTTTTAGGCCAGTTTAGCTGCGATGTATTTTCTGTGGCTAATTTCTATGATCGCTGCGGCCATGTGCCAAGGTGAGTTTCCTGCCTGGTATCAATTCGACCAAAACTTTCCTTTTTTTTTACAAGGCTGTAAATTTCCTATTAATTTGACGGTTTTCTTTTATAAAGATATTTATGTTGCCCAAGATATGGTGAGATAAGCGGTTTAAGCCGCAGTGATAAATCCAAATACAGTATAAATAAAAGAAAACATAACTTGGACAAATAGTTGGTTCCAACTGGTGCAAGATATTGAGATATTACATTCTTGGCATTAATATTTTCATAATATTTCGTAGTTATCAATATCAAGAATTTCTCAGATGAAGATGTTGCATGATACAGTTCTTTTAATATCGGAATAACTAACGTTTTTTTTCTCACGCTTTTATCATTTAGACTATGGATATCTATCTGAACACGGAGGTAATAACAAATATATTTTTTTAATTTCATTCTTTTAAACTTTAACTTATTTTGGTTTAGGACTAAAACTATTGGTCCTTCGCACTCGTTGAATTTGAATTTGCCATATGTTTGAATTATTTGCTTTGAAAACTCTTATTAATTTTTTTCGTTCCTTATCCTTTTATTAAAGTTCTTTCCGTCGTACTGTTGTGTTTTTGCCTTTGCATGTTCTTTTTCTCTTTTCTTCCATCCGCTGTCTTTGTCTGTTATCTTCTCGCCAAATTTTCGCCTATGATTAAATCCAATTTTATACAGGCCGAGTGGTTACTGAATTTAACACTGTTCCACCCTCCTACTGCAGAGAATATTGAGCTTGTAAGCAATACAAGTCAAAAGCTATTGCGTTGATTTTAATAATTGCGGAAAGACCTACTGATGTACATGTTTCTGTAAGGTGTGAAGTGACATATTCACCGTGGCTCACGTTTGTCAGAATGCTGAAAAGTTTCGGCGACCTGCACAAATAAATCGATGAAAGGCATTTAGCTAACGAGTCTAAGCAAAGTGCATGGGAAACTCACAAAGTCCAAAATTGTTAGGTTTAAAAACTAATAGCTAAGTCACAGAGCTCAATAACTGATAATTTCAGTGACATGCAAGTTCAATTCCTTCGACTAAGATGTCCAAACTTGTTATTGACGATTCACGGTTTTTTTCCCAACAGTCCCGGCTCCAAGCAACTGGTCCAAGGTATTTCCACTGTGCGGAGGAAAATTCCAGTCTCCCGTCAACATCATAACAAAGAAAGTGAAGAAGAAAAGCTATCCCGATCTTAAGATCAGTTTTGACAACCCATGTGGCCGAGTGACTGGAGAGCTGCTTAATGCCGGCAGTTCTCCTGTTTTTAACATCGACGGCTCAAAGGGGGGCGCTAAACTCAGTGGCGGTCCCTTGGATTGTGATGAGTACGCTCTTCAACAATTCCATTTTCATTTTGGATGCGAAAATGGTCAAGGATCGGAACACTTGATTGACAACCAGGCCTTTCCTGCTCAGGTACTTATTACCTCTTACAGTTATTTTATGTGAAATTCGAAAATTATTATGGGATCAAATGGGATAATTGTGATTCTTTATAAATAAAACCTGTCTCAATGTATTAGTTTCAGATCAAAAAATATATATAGTGTTGATACATACTGTTCCTATTCACATGTATATTTATGGACAAATCGGCCCCAAGTATACGTCATTTATTTTTTATTTCTTAATACTTATGCTCTTGCGGTTTTCTTCTTTCGTTTCTAGCTTCATTTGGTTTTTTACAACAAAAAGTACGAATCGTTCCAAAACGCTGTGGATAAACCTGACGGCCTTGCAGTTCTTGGAGTCCTTATCACGGTAAATAGGGCTTGCTGACTTTAATTTACAAACCTATATGTTCATTTCATCTTTTTATTGTGACCGGCCTGCAGTTCGATGGTGTAGTGAAATAACTGAAAGACGGAGAAGAAAAGTCGTTTGCAAATAGCAACGGAATTGCTATCAGCTCACTCACATAGAACATGATACCATGAAAGCATTTCAATTACTATGTTATGCAGCCTGAATTTTTAGACATATGAGAAAGTGTCAATAATTTTAAGTGTATCTATATTTTGCAGGCCACTTGCCCGGGAAACAGGATTCTCGGAAATTTTGCAAAGAAACTGACAAAGATCATAGAAGAAGGTAAATAGAAATATAACATTCAATCTCGATGTTATAAGAGGCTTCTGATAGATTTCTGCTGTCACTCTTTAAAAGGGTAATCAGGAAATGGTGAAATTCCTTGTTTAAATTTGATCCTTTTTGTGACACTTCAAGTAAATAGTTACATTGTCGTCTTTAAAGGTCTTGGCCGACATCCTCTTGATCAAATCACCACATAGAGCACCATGTTGTCAATCACACGAGCGCCCACGAAGTCAGAATTACCGTTATTTCACCTGATGAAGCACTATTTTTTTCCTCTCATATAATTTTCCTTGACCTTCTTCTCAAAGGTGCCAGCACCAATGTGACCGTCGCGGACGGAATTAAGCTGAATTACCTGATGCCCTACAATAACAAACAAGGGGACGAAGATGAGGATGATGAGGAGGATGAGGATGAGGATGCCGCTGATGGTCCGGACGCTTTAAAAGAAGACCCCAAAAAGAAAATCAAATACTACACTTACAAAGGTTCTCTTACCACCCCTCCCTGCTATGAATCTGTTACCTGGATCGTTTTCAAGGACAAAGTCAAGATCTCCAATACACAGGTTAGCTTCATGTAACACGAGAGTAACACGAATGTAAGGATAAGTCGTTAAGGATATAGATTTATAATGATTAACATTGCATGATATGAACTAGTGTATCGCAAGACATTGCTCGGTTGAGACCGACTCTCCTTTCATTCTCTTGTTCCACCGAGAACAAGTGGTCAAGATGCATCACTTTCGATAAGCAACTTTTCAGTGATTGTGGGTTTCTGTTGGATGTTTCTTTAAGTGATTATTATTTTGTCCTTAAATACTGCTTTTAAGAAAAAAGTAAACTTGAGACGTCTCATGACAGTTTTCATAAAGCGAGGGTACAAAGATTCGGAATATAACTTTTTGGCTGGATTCAGTGTTCAAGATACCTCGGAAGACCAACGCAGAATTTTTTCAGAAAGAGATAGTACACCCGCATCAGTTTTTTATTAACACGAGGCGACATGTACAGTTGTTTCATAATTATAAAGAATCCTTTTCGGTAAACTAAAGGGGGAACCATATGCCTCCTGCGGTACCCGTTCCCATTAATTACGCCCTGTATTCTGAGGGAAAAGAGTTCTAATGTAAGTTTCTCCTTTTTTCCAGCTCAACAAGTTCAGGAAACTGAAGGCTCAGCACGGTGGTGCTCCTGGTTTGATGTGTGGCAACGTTAGGCCGGTACAACCGCTGTACAAACGCAAGGTATACTCTGTCCTCTCCAGCCGGGACTGAAAGGATAATCACCTTGATTTGCAGAAAAATCACCAGCCTTACAAAGGCTCCAAATGTACACCGCACTAGGAAGGGAAATGTCGCCTTAACACTGCACATTATCACACTTCTTATTTGGAGGGGTCCTATTACAGTACCGTATGCTGCAGCACATACTATCTTTGTTTGCAGCTGAGCCAGAGATGCCAGAAATTCAGAACCTAGATGTTTGACACATTTCAAACAAAAGTTGTTGTCTGCGAACAAATTTCAGAGTATTTTCTTTCAATAATTCTTTCCTCTTCACCCATAAAACTTCTCATGCTTTGAATTTTTCACATAGACAGCCTATGAGAGATTTAGAATTTCCATCGTCGTCTGAATTCATTGAGATTCTCTCCTTTGAAATTGCGTGCTTTAATGCGCATGCTTTAATCTTAGTTTACTTCCAACTGCTGGCTCAGCTGCTTAACCTAATTTTTCATAATTTTTATGAAAAAGAAGGGTGGGGAGGTGAGGGTCCTGCCATGACTACGGTCTCATTGACATTTCTTGTCATGCCACAGAGGATTCTGTGTCATTCTGAGCATCCTAAGAACCTCTTCCCCCACCCCCCCGCCCTGCGTCAAGAAATATATTTTTTCCTGGTGATTTAATTCAGTTCCTTTTTGGGAAGGGGGGTTGGGGGGAATTAGGAATGATGCAGGGTAGGTGGACAGGGAAGGAAACCAAATTTTGTAGTAATATTTTGATTTCTCATTTTTTTGTTTACGACGCCCATATTTATCCCACTTAAAAGTTTGGAAGGAAATAAAACATTTCGAAGTCTGCTTAAACAGAAAAAAAAACAGTAAAAATGGGGATGAAAACAAAAGAGGCAACGGGATTGGGGAAAATTTACTTGAATTGCATCTAAAAATTTGTGAAGATGTCAGCGTTTTTTTAAATAAAATATAATCATTGAATATGGTGTTTCTAATTTTTGAGAATTATCAATTACCCATAAGCACATCATGCGAGTTTCAAGAATGGAGAGCTGTTGACGCCAGTATTTACAAACTTTTTCTACACACCAAATACGTAACGCGATATATCAGAAACTATTGATTGGGACTCTGCGCAATGCCAAACCTACAGCATCAACTACTTTCAACGACTGACCCTGGAAAGCTGGTTTACTAACTTGGAACAGACTCCCCTCAACAGGTGTCAACCACCACCGGCACTATACAAACGACTCATTCACGACATTAAAATTACAAATGAACCGCACAGAACGACCTAACTTCACTAACGGATCGAGACCGACCAATCACTACTGACCTACGCCACTTGAGTCTTACAGCCAATAACATCATGGCAAAACTGACCAATCAGTGTACACAAACCGGACTAAGTACATTCGACTGAGAACAAATATTCACTTGACTCTGATGATGACCTCCGCTCAGGTTGTCGAAACGTCAGTCACCACCGTCCGACAACAGTCCTTCTAAGGACTACACTCACCCGGACGATCAAACTACACTATTACATGTTACCCCCGGTTTAAACCATTTACTGTATATCAGAAATAGTATTCAGTTATCTCATTCAAGACTTGGCAATTTTGCAATCAGGTCAGCTATGTCTCAATCGCTCTGACGAAGGGCTAACGCTCGAAACGTCAGCTTTTTTACCCTTTACGGTGGCTAATTTACGTTTTCAACCCAGTTGTTAACACTAAATTACCTGCTATACTCTCCCACCGACGCAGCACCACAGTTTCTTTAGAAACTTACCCCTTTATTCATATGTCTCAATTGCACTCTTTGAAAAGGCAAAGAAGCTATAACCCAACAAATGTGCAGAAAACCGTAGGAAATCTCTCGCTAGTAATGAAATAAGAATGATCGTGAAGTTAAAAGCTATCGACATCCACTAGAATTATTTAACCTTCTCTGCAAATGATCTCGCGCTCGAGTCCGAATAGGGCGAGCGAGTCAGTTGTACGAAATCCAAAGTCTTTTCGGTTGTTAGATCCAAAGCATGCGCATTTGGTTGCATTTTACAATCAGGGATAGCACACGTCTGTGATACCGTCCTGTAGAATTGGACAGGAGTTTTATTCGTTGAGGAAAATCCTTTTCAGTATTCTTCGCTCGCCTGTTTGGGAATACAGCTAAAAAATTCGACGTTTCTGAGTAAGAGGTTTACATACGTCATTAGGATAGGCTCTTATAATTTGCAACAATGGATCAGTAATTATTTTTTGCCCGGGGGAGAGGATTTCGGCTGTGTCACGATAAAAATCACCTAATCCCCCCATAAGGCTCTGTAATATTCTCATGACCCCTCCTGATTTACTGTTCGTTGGCAGTCCGCCCCCCCTTTCATACTCTATTGGCGACAACTGATCCCTTCTCCGTTTAAAATCCCCACCCCCTTCAGCCACGGTAAATATTATGACTGGAGCTTACGTATAGATTGACCTTAATGACGAGTTATGAGCTGAGGTAAGGATTTGGGTATCGTCACTCATTAATCCTTCAACTCCCATGAGAGACCAAGACAGAATTTCTCCTTACAATATCAATTCAATATCAAGCAGACAAGTGACGAGAATAAAGAAAAATATTAACTAGGGGATTATTAGTTGATCCGATACCAAATTCTCCAAGCTAACATCACAAGAACTGTATGGCAGACAGTAAGGAGAATTTCGAATGAGACCTTGGGAGTTAAAGGGTCAAGTGTTCTTTTCAAGACCTCGTTGTCAGTCTGAGTTAGGTATAAACTTTAAGGTACATCAAAATGCGCTGTTATGTTGCTAATTTTTTAACAAACGCTGATGCTGGAACTTTGGGAAGAGCGGTTTTATGACCTTAGGTGAAACTAACCATAACATCATCTTGGATATAAAATGTACCTCGATAGTTGTTAATGAGTAGGTGTAATGATATGCTCACCTTGTTCTCCATGACGTACATTGCACTCCGGCGTTGTAATCCTGTATTGATTCCAAACTGGAGGTCCTTTGTGTTCCTTCCTCGGACATTAAATTGCTTTGACGCAGATGATTTTAATTTCGGCAGTTTCGTTGCATTTAACACTATATTTTCTTAGCGTTCAAGGAGTTTGTTTATCAGTCAGAAAAAGTTGGCCTAATGACAATTCTAAATAGATAACAACATTGTATTTGGATGAGTGGTAGAGTTATTTTAAAAAGGCAAGGAAATATCAAATGAAGTTGCGTTTTGACCAATATCTAAAAAATATGGATTACCCTGATTTAAGCCCAGTATGAATTAAGCTTCAAGTCAAATACCAAGAGATATTCGATCGTCGACGATATCTGATCTTGTTTGTAGTCTCGTCTTTGAGGTGAGCGGTCTTTGAAATGACTGGCGTTTATTTTTTACTCCGATCTATTTTCAAAATATATAAAACAAATCTGAATCGCCTCCAAAGGGTAAAAATAGGCCCTTGCTCCTCGATGCGGAAAATGTTCAGTTGAAAAATACCATGTATGTTTTAAACGCAACTTGGTGTAAATGAAATATGCAAGGCTGCCTGCATTAGGCATCAGGTACCTTCTCTAATTATAGAGCTGGTCACTTTATTCAATATTGTCAACGCAGCTCTTATCCTTTAATTTTTGAGAACAGTATAATTGAGGATATATATTAGATAGTTACACTGAGGACTTTAAGTTAAAATTCACAAGATTTTTTTTTAAAAAAATAAGACAGTTTGCCTCAGCCAATCAATTCCAGGCAAAAACAGCATGTGATAGAAATTAGCCAATCAGCACAAAGCATAGCGTCAGCTCTCTACTTTTTTGTGTTGTTGGTTGACAATGGCGGAATTAAGCGGGGAAGCTTTGCCCAATTTCTACAATAGTGAAGCAAATGAGAGATTTCTTTCCTTGCCAGAAGAGGAGCTTACCAACCTAAGTACAAACCAGAACCAAGACACCTCCAAGGGTTCAAAAACTTGGCTGAACGTTTTCAACGGGTGGAAGGTGTAGCGTAGAGAAAGCTTGAAGATATCCCTCGCCATGAGCTGGATGCAATTCTTTGCCGTTTTTTCGCTGAAATTCGAAAAAGTGACGGTGATGAGTACGAATCAGTCTGACCGTTATGCAGAGCTCGTTGGACCCCCATTTGAAAAACTGTGGCAGAAACCACAGTATCCAGCGAGATCGTGAATTTACAAATTCAAGACAATAACTTGAGGAGAAAGCAAGGCTGTGTTACCTGATCAGATATGTAATTAATACGTAACACTGAGGACTTCATGCTTGTCCAATTTGGAAATAATTGGTTTCAAAAGATTCTTCTTACAGCCAAATTGGACTTAGCCTACGGCCTCGTCCAATTCTGGCTGTCATCAGAATTTTTTTAACACATCTCTTTTAAATAGGACAGCATGTCAGGTCCCATTATATATAAAAATACGATCATCTTTATTTCAGAGATTTGCTCTGATTCATCCACAGGATAAAGACTGAAACTGCGCCTGCAATATAACAAAGCTATTTAATCTGATTAGCATATATTTCGAATATAAAAATCTCTGGAGGCGTTTGTAGTACAACTTGGTTGAGTCTCTTTTGAGTTTTTAGAAATTGCAAAAATTGACAAAGTTCTTTGATGTAAACAATTCAGCTGCGTGTCGAAGAAATCTACAAAACATCTGACGACATGTCATATATTCCGTAAAGCCGCATGAAAAGGGCAAGCTTATACATGTAATAGCATCGTTCATGATTATCTTCGCTAAGTGGGTGTTGTTTATCGAAGAGGTTCGTTTCTCATGTACTTTCCCTATTAAATCAGTTTTTCAGATTTCAAGTGGAATTGATCCTTATTTAAGTCTCTGGGTACTGGGTGCAATAAAAAGGGAAAGGTAAATTCACTTCATAGTTACACTGATGTCCTTAATTGAACACTGAGCTGAACCTCGTATTCTGTTCATATTTACCTCAAACTACACAAAACAAATCAACTGAAGATGTTAGTCTTGCTATTTTGATTCAATAAAGGAAACTGTCTGAAATGAAATGTCTTACTATACAACTGCAGAGAAATTCCAACGAATAGGCTGACATTTATCAATTGACGAGATATTTTCAGACAGTGTGAGTGGGCATGACCAGCAACCATTTGAACCTGACTGTTTCGGAATTATGGAATAACACAAAAAATGTTCGAAAACAAACTACGATCGAGCAAATGTAAAACTCTGATTTCCCATTAAACCTCGAGCTTACCATAGTTCATGCAAAAAAAAAAAACCTTTGTGACTATAATGTTTTTCTGTTTAACTCAGGTTGTGTGGTTGATAAAGGATTTGCTGAATACAAATTTCACAGGAAATCTTTTCCTCACACGCTAAGCATAAGCTCTGGCTTATTAAAACTGATCGAGGCTAACCTAGCTGGAAGGTTTTTGAAAGTGAGTTAGGGGTGTGTCTATCGTCAACTTATCAGGTGTTCTTTTGAAGATTTTTTGATTTGTAAAGAAACGGGTGGACGCTGAGATTTATCACGGCACAGTAAAATGCACTGCAACGTTACTACCAGAAGAAGAATATCTACTCTGAGTAAAAGCTGTTGATAGAAACTTTGGAAAGAGTGGTTTCCCATCTAAGGTGAAAATGATCGTAACATCATTTAGGATACAAAATGTACTTAAGTCCTTGTTAATAATTACTCCCACTTTTACTTGCCTGGTGGCTCAATGACACGCATGGCACTTGTTGGAGTTCTGAACTTGTACCAGCTAGGAGGTCTGCTATGTTCCTTCTTCAGAGCCTAAACGAGTGTGATGCAAATGATAATTATTTAGGTACTTCTTCTTGTGTTATTTTGCTCATCCATCCAAAGTTGGCTTGGTGACAATTTTAAAAAGATAAATATTCATGAATGGCGGAACTGTACTCTAAAACACCGAGGCGGAATAATCTGGAGATGCATATATTT